TTTTATTGTGGCTAAACCCAATCTCACAATTCTCTGTTACCCTTAACCTAACCTAACCCTCCATTGGTTTACCTCCCTATGGCCCCAGGCCATTTCCCACCCATAATCCTAGCTAGGCTCCATTCTCCCTTGGCCTCTTGGTCAGGTCCCTGTAATTCTATTGCCTCACAGACTACTTGGCCACTCCTAGATCCCTCCCATAGTCTTTTTGTATATAAGGTCCATCTTGTCTCACAATAAGATACTCAGATTCTTATAATCTAGCCAATAGTTCACTAACATTCAGACTCCTTAAGAGTCTGCCCAATATGATGGATGTTCTAATAAACCTTGTCTTTGGCTGAATGAAGGCTTGGGTCAAATTCCTTTGGGCAGGACCCATGTGTTGTGATTTTGGGGTCTCAGCACCCCTGAACCTCATCATTTGCATTTCAATAAATGAACAATGTATAAAATACCATAGCTTTTCAGGCACTCCTTAGTTTTCTATCAAATGACCAATATGGTCATTTCTTGTGGTATAGTAATATTGTATTATAGTCATATTACAGAATTTGAGAGTTGGAAGGTATCTCAGTGGCCAAGTCCAACTCATACACAAAAGAAATCCCCAGGGGGCAGCCAAGTAGGAATGACTTAGCTTTTATCAGCAACACAAGGATCTAAGACTAGTACAAAGGACCCATGATGGAAAATGCTGAGGGCAGCTAGGCGGTACGGTGCAGTGGATAGAGCTCCAGCCTTGAAATCAGGAGGACTTGAGTTCAAATCCTGCCTCAGACACCTACCAGCTGGGCAAGTCACTTAACTTCTCTCTGCCTGTTTCCTCATCTCTAAAATGGGAGTGATTATAGCAACTAACTGCCAGGGTTGTTGTGAAGATCAAAGGAGAAAATACCTATAAAGAGCTTTGCCATAAATGCTAGTAATTATTATGATGTCATTACAGGATTTCTGCTCAAAAGTCTCAGAGGAAGAACTCCCTGACCCCTTCTTAAGGCAGTCCACTACTGTGATCGTTAGGAAGTTTTCTCCTAATATCTAGCTAAATTTGCCCTTTTTGCAGCTCATATCTGTAACAGGTCCTGGTTCTGTCCTCTGGGACATCCCTTCTCTGAGTCACAGCTATTAAAATATTTCAATCATATCTCCCCCCACCAACATACACACACACACACACACACACACACACACACTTCCTCTCCCTTTCCCTCTCTCTCTCCTTCTCCTTTTCCTCTCTGGGGTTGACTGGCTAGATTTCTTTGTCAAAGACCAAGCCTTAAATCCAGTTCACTCTGGAGCTCATAGATTGGATAATAATACCGTCCCTGCCCAAGCACCACTTCATGGTTATTTTTCTGGGCACTCCTTGCTCACAGTGAATATAAATAGTAACTGTTTCTCTTTTGACCAGCAGCTAGGAGGGTCTTCCCCTCCCAGTTTGTTTGCTTATTTGTTTGTTTGGATTAAAGGGGCCATCCCTTGACTCTCTTCTTATAGAGAGGCCTATTTGCAAGAATGGGCGTTACCTCACTCAAAGTGAAAAGCTAAAAAGACCTTAGCTTAAAAAGGGCCAGGGTCTCCTACTGCATCCTAGGCCATCTCCAGCCCTCCTCATGAATTTCTGGCCACTGGACCTAGATGGCTCTGGAGGAGAAAGTGAGGCTGGTGACACTGCACAGCCCTCCTTCACTCAAATCAAAGTCAATTGCAAGTCATGTCATCATCTCCCTGATGTCACTGGCCTCTTTGAGAAGGAAGGACAAATACAATATGACATAGACTCAAGGTGCCTCCCCATCCTACTTGCTCTTCTCTGAACACTCTCCCAGTTTATCCGTGTCAATATCAGTCAATATCAATGAACATCTATTAAGCACCTCCTCTATGCCAAGCGCTGTGCTAATCACTGGGGATACAAAAAGAAGCAAAAGACCGTTCCTACCCTCAAGGAGATTATGATATAATGGGAGAGACAACATTTGAACAAATATGTACAAACAGCAAAGTACAAGATAAACAGGAAATAATTAACAGAAGGAAGATAGTAGAACTAAAGGGCAGTGGGGTTTGAGGAAGGTTTCCTATGGACGATGGAATTTTAGTTGGGACTCAAAGAAGCCAGGGAAGCCAAGAGGAGGGAAAGCATTCCAGGCATGGGGGACAGCCAGAGAAAATGCCAAAAGAATGAGTGTCTTCTTTGGGGAACAGTCAGGAGGTCAGTGTCACGGGATCAAAGAGTACCTGGCAAGGAGTAAAGTGGAAGAAGACTGGAAAGGTAGGAAGGGGCTAGGTTATAAAGGGCTTTGAATGCCAAACAGAGCATTTTTTAAAAGTTTGATCCCAGAAGGATAGGGAGCCAATGGAATTTATTAACTGGAGGGAGGGAGAGGGTGACATGATTGGACTTGCACTTTAGGAAAATCGTTGAATGAAGAATGGATTGGAGTAGGGAGAGAGTTGAGGCAGGCAGGCAGACCCACCAACAGGCTATGTAATAGCCTGATGAGGGCCTGCGCTAGAAGGGTGACTGTGTCAGAGGAGAGAAGGGGGCATATTTGAGAGGTGTTATGGGGCATATTCAAGAGATGTTGCAAAGATGAAATGTCTTTTGCTACACTGGGGTACCCAGAATTGAACACAATACTCCAGATGAGTTTATTCAGCCATTCCCCAATAAATAGGCATCCATTTTCCTTCTAGGTCTTTGTTACTATAAAAAAGTGTTACTATAAGCATACCCCCCCACACACACACACATGTCCTTTCTCTCTGTCCTTGACTTCCTTGTAGTACTACAGTACATGCGTAGTCATATCACTGGGTCAGTCAGTTAATAAGCATTTATTAAGCACGTACTATGTGCCAGGCACTGTGCTAAGCACTAGGGTTACAAAAAAGAGGCAAAAGACAGTCTCTACCCTCAAGGAGCTTATAATCTAATTGGTCAAAGGACGTGCACAATTTAGTGGCCTCTGGTACCATGTCCATAACTTTTGTTTTCATGCTATCAGTATATATCCTGTTCTGATTTTGCTTTACATCAATTCAGAAAGGTCTTTCCCTATCTCTTTACATTTTTCATATCTGTCCATCTTAATTGCAGTAGAGTATACCATAACATGAATGTGCCACAATTTATTTAACTATTTCCTTATTGGATATTCAGGCTGCTATAAAAAGCTCTGAACAGCTAGTTCTTTTTTTCCTTGTTGTTATTTTATAAGAAACACTCTCAGAGTATAATCCCAACAATTATATACCAAGTACATAATCCCAACAATGGAATCATTGGGTTAGTGTGTAAGTTTATTTTTATCATTTTTTTGTCCTTTGTCCTGCCAAATTGCTTTCCAAAAACATGCACCAGTTTGCAATTCTCCAAGCAATGAACAAATGCACCTGTTTTTTCACAAGACTTCCAGGGCTGAATTTCTTTGCTATTACTACTATTACTACCACCACTACTACCACTACTACCACTACTACTACTACTACTACTACTACTACTACTACTACTGCTACTACTACTACTACTACTACTACTACTACTGTTGCAGGCTGAGAGGTTGTGACCCCTCAAAGACCGGAGTACAGGACAGGTCATCTGGAATGAATTCACAGACTCAAGCATTCTTTAATTCAAGGTGGCAAAGATTTATTGTTACGCTTTTCAGCGGGCAAGGATTCTTAAAGGATCCTGCAACCTTAGAGAGGTACAGTTAAAGTTTATATAGGATAAAATACAATAAAACATGTGCCAAATATGCTAACTAGGGGATTCAGGGTAGGATTAGAGAGTGGTTAAGGAGTAGTCAGTTCTTAAAAGAACATGCACTTCTTGTACCTACTGCACAGGCATTTTACCCAGAGTTCACTAGGAAAAGCCCACAAGGGGGGCCACATGGAGGTGTGGTTTTAGGCCTGCTACGTCACTAAGTCAACTAGAGTTCAGGGTAACTGGAGTTGTCCAGTCTGCCACCAATCAGTGTCTTGTTACACAAGATAGATGTAGGGAGTATACATATGTCTTAAGTCTAGAATACAGTTAATGAGGAGCCCAGGATGTAGATAATGAGGTAGGGCAGTAGGATAGTATAGTAGTGGGTAAGTATGTCTTTATGACCCAGTGCAAAGCCAGTTTAAACTAATAAATCCTTCAGGTGCTGTTTGGAGCTGCACCAGGGAGAGAGATAAGGGTCTTGCTAGGGCCCACTCATGAGTAATTGCTAAGCACAGGCTCTTTGGGCTGGGGACAAACTGTCAGGGACAGTGTTTCTGAGGCTAGGGAGAAATTGGGGTCCAAGTACAAGCACCCAAACATAAGCACCCAAGCACCACATCACTACTACTTCTACTACCACTACCACCACCACCACTACTACTACTACTACTACTACTACTACTACTAGCTATTTGGTGGATGTGAGGTGATAACTCAAAAATTGTTTTAATTTGCATGATCTTTAGTGAGGTTGAACATTTTAAAAAGTGGTTATTAACAGTTTGTGTTTCCTCTTTTGAAAACTGTTCATAATCCTCTGACTATGCCTTACGCATGAGAGTGGTTTAAAAAAAAAAACAGAACAATTTCTTGTTTATTTTCAATGCCATATTTTTTGCTCTCATGTTTGCCATACGTAGTTTCCCAAATTTATTATTTTCATTTTGTGTGTAGTATATGGAGATATTAGATAGATAGTTTGCAACAAAGTTTCCCCAATTAGTTATTTTTAGAGAGTGTGTGTGTATGTATACAAAGTATATAAATATATGCATCTACAAATTATATCTCTGGAGATATATATCTTTATCTCTCTATAGAGATAGATACACTTTGTGTATACTTTATATATATGCACATATATATATAGATAAAGTACATCTGTAGATACATTTTTGTCTCTATAGTGAGATATAGATATACTTTGTAGATACATATATTTATATACTTTGTATACATACACAAACATATGACATATAAAACAAATGAGAAAGTGTTCAGAGTTTTAAAAAAGCAACTCATATAGATAGATAGCTAGATAGATAAGACTTTTTCAAGAGGAGGTCTCCCCTACCTGGCTACATTGGAAATGCCAATCTTGATTGGCATGGAATGGAAGCTTTAATCGGCTCTTTTTCTGACCTGGGCCAGGTTGCCTCTCCTTAGGAAATCTGGTGGATTTCTGTTGGGGGTTGGGAGGTGGTAGTGGCCATACTGGTGCTGGACTTAGTGCAGACACATGATTGGCTGTGGTCCTACTACAGCTCAGAACTCCCTAACTGAAGTGACCAGCCCTAGTCTCCTGCTGTAGCAGAGATCGTAGGTACCTACCAATTCTCCTAGCTATTATATTGTTTTTTGTTCTAAATATTAAAAAGTCTAATGTCATCAAGAGCATATATCTTAACCTTAACAATTCCTTCTAATAGTTTAATAGAATAAAGTTATCTCCCCTCCACAATTAATTTTCTTCCATTTTTTGGTAGTTCTTAAAAAAGTATTTAAACTATAATTTGCTGAAATATATTGTGGGAAATAAAAGTTTAAACTCATTTCCCCCCAAATTGCTACTTAGTTTTCACCAAGGACATAATTAATGAATCCTTTCCCCAGGTTTTTCTTTTCTTAATTTTAATAGGTTTACCAAATGCTAATCTTCTGCATACATTCAGTTGACCCTTTAAAAGAAATTTAGTAGTAAAGGAGAGGAGAGAGATGGGAAGGTAGCTATCTGAATGGAGTAGAAAGAACAAGGGAAAGCAAAGGTTTTTTAGAATGAGGGATCACATTCAAAGAAAGTAGAGAAGGTAGCCAATGGAGAGGAAGAGGTTGAAGCTCCATGAAAAAATAAAGAAAGACTGCTGTAGCTAGGTCCTGAAGGAGGCAGGCAGGATGGAGACCAGCAAGGATATCTGCACTTCTGTGAATTCCAAGATTCCTCAAGGCTACATTCTAAGATTTCTACTGTTTTCGAATTTTAAGATGTCAAAATGGGGCCACCCCTAGGGGGTGCCAGAGTCCAATCACACATAGCCTGATCCTTCTCATTCCAAACCACCCCACTAGAGAAATCTTACAGAAGCCGCCCCAGGCCACCTAGAGGGGTAGAAACCATCCATCCAAAAGCAGGAGGGGGAATTTATGGGTTAAATGTATTGAGGGAAGCCTCAGGATCTGTTTTAGCAAGTGGGGTGGGGGCAGTGCTTACAGCCAGTAGAGGGGATATCCAAGGCAATGTGCGGGGAATGGGGATCAGAGCCTGTCCTCCCTCTCTCCATCCCCTCCCCCCAGTGCTTGCTGAATGCCCTGGAGAGGAGAGCAAGAAGGGAAGGGAGCCTGGCCTCCATGGGGGGGCTGTGCCCTCCAGTCCCTCCCACCCCCTTTGTCCTCAGTGGCCCTGCTTCCCCAGGTCAGTGACCCATAAGCACAGTCTATCCATCCATCCATCCCCTCTGGAGAGGCCCTACTGAAGGTGGTGGTGTAGGGGGTCAAGGGTCAGAAGCCAAAGACTGGAAGAAGCACCCAAGGTCACCACCCTTTTCACATGGAAATGCTAAGAGACATGGTGGGGAGGGGGAGCAGACAAGGGTTGAGGGGGTAGGTCAGGAAGGAAGCCAGCTAAGCCTGTGTTCAGAGGCAGGTCCAGACCAAAAGAAAGCCACTAGCACCCTCTAAAAAGCAGACTGGATGCAGCTAAAGCTGTTTCTGCTCCTTCACAGAATTGCAGAATTTGAGAGTTGGAAGGGACATCAGTGGCCATCATGTTCAATTGTCTCCTGTGACAATACCTGACAAGGGGTCTTCCAGCCTCTGAGAAATCCAAGGAGGGGGCAGATACCGCCTCCCGAAACAGCTCATTCCTTTAAAAACAAACAAACAAATAAAAACAAAAAGAAGACCTGTGATTTCATCAGTGAAGGAATCAGAGAAATCCAGCTGAGAAATATTCTCTAGCAATACAAGTCAGCCCTTGCTCTCCAATTTATAATCTTACAGGGTTGCCTTAAGAGGTTAAGTGACTTGTCCAGGGTCACAGCTAGTATGTTTTAGTAGGGGCACTTGAATCTAGGTCTTCCTGACTCAGAGGCCAAGCTTTCTATCTGCTCTTCTGTTTCATCTACATCCTAACTTTGGACAACACTACTTTGGAAGTTTGTTGTTGTTGTTTTTAACAAAATTGAGCCTAAATCAGCCTTGTAGCTTCCACCCACTGTTTCTAGTTCTGTCCACTGGGGCCAAGCAGAACAAATATAACTTTCCTCCTTCTAATAGCCCTGTAAGTATTAGAACACAGCCATCAGGTCCTCCCTGAGGCTTTCTTTTTCAAGCTGCACATCCCCAGTTCCTTAAACTTCTTTTTTTTTTAAGTTAGGCAGTAGGATTAAGTGACTTGCCCAGGGTCACACAGCTAGTAACTGTTATGTGTCTGAGGCCGCATTTGAACTCAGGTCCTCCTGAATCCAGGGCTGGTGCTCTATCCACTGTGCCACCTAGCTGCCCCACCTTAATCCTCTTCTTATATGACATGGATCCAAGGCCATTTACCAGTGGACTTGTCCTCAGGACACTTTCTAGCTTATCAATATCCCTGTCCAACTGAGCTGCCTGGAATTGAACACAATGTTCAGATGTAGACTGACTAGGGCAGAGGTCAGAGGGGCTATCACGTCCCTGTTCTTGGAATTTCTGCCTCCCTTAATGCAGCCCAAGATTGCATTAATATTTTTGGCTACCACATCACACTGAAAGCTCCCATTCAGTTTACAGTTCTGCTGTCTTTCTTCTTCACACTCATTATAAATGGTAGCTGTGGTATAGTGGATACTTACATAGTCAGATGGCCTTGCACATAACAAGAGATAAGTATTTGCTGAATTGAATTTCATTAAAGAATCAAGATATAAGACCTTAGGCAAGTCACCTGTCCTTTCTGAGCCTCAGTTTCCTCACCTGAAAAATAAGGGGATTGAACTAAATGATCTTAAAGACCCTTTCTAACTCTAATATCACAAAATCCCAGACCTTCCATTGTTACCAGGATAGACTGTAAGCTCTTTGAAAGCAGGCATTTTTTAAAAAAACGGTAGGGGGCAGCTGGGTAGTGCAGTGGTTAGAGCTCTGGTCTTGGAGTCAGGAGGACCTGAGTTCAAATCTGACCTCAGACACTTGACACTTACTAGCTGTGTGTCCCTGGGTAAGTCACTTAACCGCAATTGTCTCACCAAAAAGCAAAAAAAAGAAGTAGGCATTGTCTTTAATCTTGCTTTGTATCCCCATTGCTTAGCATGATGCCTAACACATTTGCTGTTATTCAGTCTTGTCCAATTCTCTCTGACCCATGGACCATAGCACAATGGGTCTTCTTGGTAAAGACACTAGAGCAGTTTGCTATTTCTTTCTCCAGTGGATTAAGGCAAACAGAGGTAAAATGACTTGCCCAGGATCAGGTCTTTCTGACTCTAGGTCCAGCACCCTATTCACTGAGCCACTTAGCTACCTCCACCTAACACATAGTAGGTGCTTAATAAATGGTTGTGGCATAATTGACTGACACGCTGTGTACAGAAACAACTGGCAGATGTAATTGCTCCCCCACCATCAGGGTTCTTTGGAACATGGAAAGATTAAAACAGAGAAGGGCACATGTCTCAATTTTCTAAAAGGGGAGAAAATGGAATCTGCAAAATGGAGTCCAGTGGGCTTGTTTTTGATTCCTGGCAAAATACTAGAATGTGTGATTAAAGAGATGGGTTAGTAAATGCCTAGAAAAAGAAATGCCAATCATAAGGAGCCAGCAGGAAGGACAGGTCATGCCAGACTAACCTCATGTCCTTTTTTGACAGTATTATTGGCTCATCGATCAGTCATAAGTACCGATCTCTATCTTCACATATACATACATACATACATACATACATATGTGTGTACATACGTACATACATAGATGCAGCCATAACACCATTTTTGTAATTTACCTAGATTTTAGGATAGCACTTGATAAAGTCTTTCTTGCTGGACAAAATAGAGACATGTGAGCTAGACAATAAGACAAAGGATTCCAAACTCCTCCAACAGTCAGACTCTAAGAACAGTTATTAATGCTTCTATTTCAACCTGAAAGGAGGTGTCTAGTGGAATGGCCCAAGGATCTATGCTTGTCCCTGTACTGCTTAACATTTCCACTGGTGACTTGAATAAAGGCACAAATGGCCTGTTCATCCCATTTGTAGATGACACAAATCTAGAAGGGAGAGTTAACACTTTGAGTGGCAGATGAGTTAAAGGGTAATTTTTTCCCCCTCTGCTGAGATGTGGTTATTCATGTTTGTTTGTTTTATTCACTAATCAGATATTTTCGGGGGGGAGGGGATCCAGAGAGATCTCCACTGGTTGAAATGTTGGACTGAATGGAAGGAGATGATGTGTAATTGGAATAAAAGTAATCTTACACTTGGGTTCAAACAATCAACCTCAAACACACTAGATCTGGAAGGGAAAGGTGGTTAAGCAGCAGTTCCCCTGGAAAAGATCTAGCAGCCAGTTTTAGAGGTAGCTATGTTAAGAAGTAGGTAAGAGCATTAGACCTGGAGTCAGGAAGAACTAAATTCAAATTCTGTCTCTGATACTGTGTGGCTCTGGACAGGCTGCTTAGCCTCAGTTTCCTCATCTGTAAAATGGAGATAATAATAGTACTCTCCCTCCTCATCTGCATCTCCAGTATCCTTGGCTTCCTTTAAGTCCTAGCTAAAATCTCCCCTTCTACAGGAAGCCTTTTTTGATCCTCTTAATTCTAGTGCCTTCTCTTTGTTAATTATCTCCAATTTGTCCTGCCTAAATCTTCTTTGGACGTGATTGTTTACATGCTATCTCTCAAATTAGACTGTAAGCTCCTTGAAGGCAGAGATAGTAATTTGCCTTGCTTTGTATTCCCAAGGCTTAGCATAGGCACATAGGAAGAGATGAATGCTTGTTGACTGCCTGAGTGACTGACGACCTCACAGGGTTGTTGTGTAAGGATCAAATGAGCTAACATTATATAATGGATAAATGCTATATAGTAATACTAATAACAATAATAATCAAATAAGTAATATATAGATAGATATGTAGAATAACTAAATATATAGATAACTTATTTATAAATATATTAATAAAAATCTATTATTTATATGTGGCATTTGTACACTGTATAATGTTTGATCAATAATAATCTATTAATCTATCTAATAATCAATAATTCTATATTAATTATAATAATAACAACAAAATAGCTAATATTTATATAGGGCCTACTATTTTCCAGGCACCGTGCTAAGTGCTTTACAAGTATTATCTAAAAATAAAACACACAAATATTATCTCATTTGATCCTTACAACAACCCTGGGAGGTAGGTGCTAATATAGATGAGAAAACTGAGGCAGGTAGAAGTTAAATGACTTGCCCAGGGTCATACAATTAATAAGTGTCTGAGGCTGGATTTGAACTCAGCTCTTCCTGACTCAAGGTCCAGTACTCTATCCACTGAGCTGAAGTACTTACTACTTCTAGCTCCCTGGAGGCTTTAAGAACTGGAGGTTCAATAGGAATCACCAGTGTGATATTATAGCAAGAATCTAATATAATCTTGGGCTGCCTTAAGAGAAAAATGATGGCCTGCACTTCAGAGATGAAAGACATAGATAGAACATTTATTAATTAGCTTATTATGTGTCAGGCACTGGTATAGCTCTGGATCTCTGCACACCCAGTGTACTGTATTCAGTCTGGACCCTCTGTTTCAGTAAGAACATTGAAGGAGGTGGAAAGGCCCCCGTGGAAGGTAATCAGGATGGGGTAGGACAAAGAAACTGAGGAGGTTTAGCCAGAGGAAGAGAAGACTTGGGAGTAGGGAAGTGGGGACATGACAGTGATCTTTCAGTATCTGAAGGACTGGCATGGGGAAGAGGTATTGAATTTATTCTATTTGGACCCAGAGGGCAGAGCTAGCAGCCGGAATTGCAGAGAGGTAGATTTAGGCTTGAGTTGGGGAAATATCTGCCAAATAAACTAGGACTATCTACCTTGGGAAGTAATTGGTTCTCCCTTTGAGAAGTCTCAAGCAAAGACAGAACAGATGATGACTTGTCAGGCATATGGGGGACAGAATTTGGACCAGATGCCCTCTGAGATGCCTTTCAGTCCTAGAGCTATGAGCATCAGACTTATAAGTCAGGAGGACCTGAGTTCAATTCTGGCCTCAGATACTTACCAGCTGTGTGGCCCTAGGCAAGTCACTTAACCTCGGTTGCCTGCAAAAAAAAAAATCATCTTGGTTCCTCTGTTGAAGATGGATTTCAGACAAGAGAGATTCAAGTCAAGAAAGATTTATTATGTGCCAGGCATTGCATGAAGTGCTGGGGATAAAAAGACCAGGGAGACCCTCTAACGGGATTCTTAACCTTTTTGTGTGTTTCATAGACTCCTTTGGGTCTATGGGGGGAAGCTTATGGACCTTTTCTCAGAATTTTGTTTTTAAATGCCTTAAATATAATACAGATAATTGCCAAGAAAGCCAATTATATTGAAATGCAATCACTGCGGCACATAGGTGGAACAATGAATAGAGTACTAGCCCTAGAGTCAAGAAGACTTGAGTTCAAATGTGACCTCAGATAATTACTAGCTGTGTGACCCTGGACAAGTCACTTAACCCCGATTGCCTCCAAAAAAAAATGCAATCATCAAAAAAAAATTTAAGACTAGTTCAACAACTGTAGGTTAAGAACCCCTAGTTTTAGTGGGAGCGTTGCAATAATCCAAGTGACATGGGATGAGATGTTCTGTGTGAGGAGACAGATGGGATTGATTGAGAGAGTTGTTGGGGACAGAGAAACAGCAGGATTTGGCAATTGTCGAGGAATGTGGGGTGGGGGAGAATCAGAAGCTAAGGATGACAAGGGTGCAAACATGGGTGACTTGGTGCCCTAGGACAGTAATAGGGAGATTTGGAGGAGGAGGGAGCTTGCTGGGAAGTGGAATGCCATGAAATCTTCCAGTTGTCCAAACCCACATGCACCTGTTCTTCTTGGAAACACTGTCCCACCCTAAAAGAAAAGGAGGGAGGCAGGGCAGCCTTAGCCACCAGTTACTGTTAGGGAAAGCAAAACCTGCCCTTCAGGTGGGTGCCTGCTGCAGGTCTGACATGATCTGGGAAAAGGGGTGGAGATTTTCCCAGTGGCCCAGTCGCTACTGTTGCTGCTGTGGTTCGCTTGCAGGGATTAGGTTATAACTGCCCCGAGGGGCTTATATAAGACCAAGATGGGGAGGGAGGTTGGGAACAGTGAGTCAGTAAACAACATATATTAAATGCCTACCATGTACCAATTGTTGGGGATACTAAGAGGAAAAAAAACCAGTTCCTGCTCTCGTGGAGCTTTCAGTCTAATGGAAGAGACAACATACAAACAACTGTGAAACATCTATCCATCTATCGGGAGAAAACTGGAACAGCAGAGGGTAGGGTCCTAATGTATGGGGTGGGGAAGGTTGGAGGAACCTATTTTTATCCAGAGTAGTTATGGTTGTGTTGGAGATAGTTGAATTATCACTGGGGTGAGATCCAACCCATCTTTCCACCCTCCAATTAATTGGTGACATACTGTACCCCAGGAGACCCTGCCCCTCATCCCTTTTTGAGACTACAATCCTAATGGATAGACTCCTGGACCTGGAGTCAGAAAAATATAGGCTCACATACCCCCTAGCTGTATGACTTTAGGCAAGTCACTTAACCTCAGTTTCCTCATCTATAAAATGGGGATAGTATTAGCACCTACCTTCCAGGATTGTGGTGAAGATTAAATAATATTTGTAAAGTGCTTTGCAAACCTTAAAGTATTCCATAAACATTAGATATTATTATTATTGTTGTTACCATCATCTGTTTCTCTCATGGTGTTGGGTCTCTACCAGCCTATGGTGGTGGCCTTGCAGAAAGGGCCCAGAGCAATGCCCCACATCTCCTGGTCATAGCTGCTGTCCTCTGGTCCCAGAGGAGGAGAAGGAAGTGAAGCTGGGAAGAGACAACAGAAAGCAGTCTTCCTGGGTCAGGCTTCCCTGCCCCTCCCCCTCCCCCGCACCCGAGGAGTTGTTGGTCGCTGGAGAACAATCGCCCCTATCTCCCCCTCCCCCTCCCAGAGCCCAGCCTTCTTCTGCCGAGGCTCTGGCCTCAACAGCCCTGGGGCGGCCCAGGTTGAAGGTCAGCTCCCTGCCCTTTTCTCATTCAAATCAGGTCACTCCCTGGGGAGGCTGTGGGCTAGAGCCTGCACTGAACAGCAGGGGAGAGACTGACACGCTGGGAGAGAAATCAGAGATAGGGAAGAGACAGGGATGGGGACCAAGACTGAGACAGATCTGGATCAGAAATGGAGACGTAGTGACCACTGGAGACAGGGGAAGGAACACAAACATTGAGAAGAGAGAGAAACCCCAGCCAATCCACACACCCATGCAGACGCTGCCATCAGAGCCATGGAGGAGACTAGAGGATTACTGGGCTTTAAAGATCTGAGGTCTCCTAGTCCACGAGTGTCAAACTCAAATAGAAGCAGAGGCAGGGGGAGGAGGGGGGGCCACTAACTAAACTGTGCTTAAGGATCCCTACAGACTTCATGTTGATGTAGAAAATTATATTATATATTAAACTATAAATATTATATATTTTATAAATATTAACATTAACGTTGTTCTATGGCATTTTTATTTCTTTTGTTAAATATTTCCCAATCACATTTATTCTGGTTCTGGCTGCACTCGGGAGTGTTGAAGGCTGACTGTCTGACATCTTTGATCTAATCTAACCCCTCATTTTACAGATGAGGAAACTAAGGCCCAGAGAGAGTAAATGACTTTGCTGGTGTCCTGCTGTGGCAGAGCTAAAATACAAACCCAGTTCCCCTGATCCTAAAAACAGTGTTCTTGCCATTTCCCTAGAAGAGAGGATTGGACAGGATTGGAGTCTCCATCTCATTGTTCCCATTCTGCAGAAACAAAAACTGAGGTCTGGGCATGGATAAGGCCCAGAAACTGGCAGCACTGCTTCCCGGGTTTGGTTGAAGCTGTATCTCTCCTTCCCTGGGGCTGTCTGAGTTGCTAGCCCATTCCTGGACTACATACCTATTACCACAGCTCTCCCCACTGAATTCCTGGAATCTTATAAAAGCACACATTGAAGGAGACTTCAGATCCTCATTCAGCTTTTTAGAGGAGAGGAGATAGATACCCAAGAGGGGAAAGGATTTTGCCCAGGTCACATCCAGGCTTCCAAGCTTTGGAGCCAATGTTCTTCTGGTCACATTACAAAGCTGCCCCTACCCAAGGGCCCCTACTCCCCTGGATGATGGCCTTGCCCTCCCAACCTTGATAGGGGCCTGAAAGCTCCATGAGGAGGGCTTCCTTTCTCTTGATCTATTCAACCAAGAATTTGACCTAGCAACAGGCCATTTTCCCAGGCAGAAAAGGGGTCCCCAGAGGAGGGTAGAGGCCCACCAGGCCCAGCAGGGACAAGGGATTAGTGACCACAGGTGTCCTTATAATGGGGGAAGCAAGGAGAGGCCCTTAAGCCCCAGCTCAGTAATCCAAGCTCCAGTCTTTGTTTCCCTGCTATGGAGAGCCCAGGTGTGCTTCACCTCTACAGGTGTGGATGGCCAGAAGAAGAGCCTGCTAGGGGAGGCACATTCATGCTGGGATCCCTTTCCCCTCTCAGGCCCACAATCTCCCTCCTGACTCAGGAATTTGGGAGGGAGTGGATATTCAATCTCATGCACATGATTTAAAAATATCTAAACTTTTTGTTTTTTCAATTAACAAGCCTAACCTCTCTTCCTACCTCCCCACCCCCCAACTGAAAACAGGAAAACCTAAGCCTTCATAACTGATATGCATGGTCAATTAAAGCTTCCTTCCATCAGCCATGTCCAAAAACCTACTTCTCATTCAGCACCCTGGCTACATCAGCTCTCTGTCAGGAGGTGGTCCTCTGGAATCATTGTTGGGTCATTGCATTGGTCAGACTTCTTTCTTTACAATGTTGTTATGATGAATATAATAACATGGTAAATAACTTAGAAAATAGGGAGAGTATAGACATATTGGGGGTGTACACAGTCAGTACTTTTTAGGCAGGACAGAGACCCAGGTCTTCCTGATTCAGGGGCCTCTTCTCTAACCATTAGACCACACTACCATTTTCTCTTGAAATTACTTGTATCATTTACCTATCTGCCTCCAGCACAGCATAAGCTTTAAATCAAGAACATTTTGTATTTGCCTTTTTATCCCTATACCTATTATTCCTTGCACATAGTAGGTACTCAGTAAATGCTTATTTAATGAAACTGAAGTTGCTTAAACTTTCAGGACCACAGTATCCTGCTCTGAGAGTTAGACTCCATTTAATATAATTGGCTTCCTTTATAATTCTATGTATTTTATTGTATGCATTCCTAAGCACGACCCTGAGAAGGGGGTCTTGTTCAGGCTGCCTGCCAAAGGGGTCAGGGACATAAACGAGGGGAAGAGCCCCAGATGAGGTGATCATTAACATGCCTTCCAAAGTCAGATCTGTGATGCTCAGACAGAAAGCAGCCACACGGCTTTCAATCCTCCCCACAGTTCAGAAACTGCTTTCTCCAAGGTTACCAGGGATCACTTAACAGCTAAATCCGATGCCCTTTTCCCAGTCCTCATCCTTCTTGACCTCTTTGCAGCTTTTGACACCGATGACCACTCTTCTCTCCCCTCCTCCCAGAGCTTCTGAGACATTGCTTTCTCTGGTTTGGGACTGCTCCTTCTCAGCCTTCTTCACTGGATTATCATTTATCTCCCTCCCATTAAGTTTTGTCCCTTGCCCTCTTTTCTTATTCCTCTAATCTCTCTTGTGATTGCATTAGCTCCAATGGATTCAATAAGTATCTCTACCCAGCTGACCTCCCCACCTCCCCAAAGTTAATAGCCAACTCTAATGGTCCTCCATTACCAACTAGCTGCTGAATATCTCCGATATAGGCATTGCCTACTCAGCAGATCCAAAATGGAAGTCATTATATTTTCCCTCTCCTCCTCTTCCCCAAGACTCCTGCCAACAACCAAATCTCCCTATTTCTACTAAGTCCACACCATCCTCCATCTTTCTACTTATGAAGCTTCACAGAGTCATCCCTTACTCTTCTCTCTTCCTCACCCTCCAAAGTCTTGTAGATTCTTCCTCCACATGTCTGTCTACTTTTCTCTCCTTTCATAGGGTTACCAATCTCACTCTCTTCTTTATTTCTTCTCACACTGTGTTGAAGTGGATACAGCAGTGGGCCTGGAGTCAGGAAGACTCATCTTTGTGGGTTCAAATCTAGCCTCAGATACTTACTAGCTGTGTGACTCAGGGCAAATCACTTAATCCTGTTTGCCTCAGTTTCCTCCTCTGTAAAATGAACTACAGAAGGAAATGGCAAACCACTCCAGTATTTTTGCCAAATCCCAAAACGGCTGTTCGGAGAGTCAGAAATGACTAAGCAAACACAAATGACCTTGGCAAGTTATTTATCCTTTCTGGGCCTTAGTTTCCTCATTTGCAAAATGGGGGGTGTTATCTAGGTAGTCCTTGATTTCTGGAATGCTCCTCCCTCTCTTAGAATCCCCTGGAATCCTTTAAGGGATCTGTCAGGTCTCTTAAAGCTCTAAATCTGTATCCTACTCACTCTCCTGCTCAAAAATCCCCAGTGGAGGGGGCAGCTAGCTAGTGCAGTGGATAGAGCTCCAGTCTTGGAGTCAGGAGGACCTGAGTTCAAATCCCATCTCAGACACTTGACACTTACTGTGTGACCCTAGGCAAGTCACTTAACCCTAATTGCACCTCACCAAAAAAAAAAAATCCTTAGTGGTTCCCTACTGACCCTAGGATAAAAAAACAAAGTCCACAGTCTGTTAATTAAAATCATTTAGTCACTTACAAGGGAGGCTAGGTGGTGAAGTAGACAGAACACTGGTCCTGGAGTCAGGAGGATCTGAGTTCAAATACAGCCTCAGATGCACTAGTTGTGTGACCCTGGGGAAGTCACTTAACCCCGATTCCCTCTGGGAGGAAAAAAAAAGTCCTTTACAATATAGCTCCTTCAAATACCTAGAAAAACTGGTCTACTTGCAGTTCTCCAAACCTGACATTCTACCTTTATGTAGGCTCTGCTTCTCACCTGGAGAGCACACCCTTTTCAACATAGTTTCTTAGAATCCCTGACTTCCTTTAAGGCTCAGGTATCACTTATGGGGAAATATTTCCTCTTTAAATTATCTTATATTTACACAGGTGCTCACATGTGGTGTTCTTCAGTAGAATGTGAACTCCTTGAAGGGAGGGACTATTTTTTCTTTTTTGTCTTCTCATTCCCAAGGCACATTCCCTTGTAAAGAGTTGTAGTGTTTGTTGAATTGAATCACTGAAGACTTGGCATCTGAGTAGAAACGTTTACTAGCATTTCTGTCAAGTGGACAGCTAACCTCAGCTTAAAGTCTCTGGGGGTGGGAGAGGTCAGTGCCCCCTGGAGGGGAGGGAAAGGGAAGAGAAAGAAGGTATGTGTCTGTGGGGTTGGAGGGAGGGCTCTCTGACATGGAAAAGAATTATTCTTTCTAGTAGTAAAGAGCTTAGGTTCTAGGATAGCGCTAAGATAGAAAACTAGGTAGGGTAATTGTACCAAGGTCAAGTACAGAGGGCCCAGGAGGGAACTGCCTTCTCTCCACCTTAGAGTCAACAGGGGAGGGGTTCATTTTCCCACAATGGACCTTTCTTTCTGACACAAGCCATACCAGCTGAGCCCTTCTCAGCTTTGGAAATGTAAGTAGAAAAGGGGGGGTGGTGACTTAAATTCCTCTGAACTGCTGTCTCCCCCAATTCCTGGATTGCCCGGTCAACTATGTGACCTGACTCCTGTAGGCCTGGGGGTTCTGTTTAGAGTTGGGTTCTTCATCCTGTCACCTGGTGGAGTGGGACACAGTCCCTGGCCCTCCAGAGCCTCTCTTACTGGTTCTGGGTGAGCGTGTGGAGGATGATTATAAGGACAGGGTGGTACTGTGAATTGTATTGAGCATTAGAGCCTGGGTTCTAATTCCAGCTTTGACACTAACTAGCTGTATGACTTAGGCAAATCACTTCCTTCCTCTGGGTCTCAGTTTGGCCAACTCTAAAATTAAATGGTCTCTTAGAAGCTCTGGCATTCTGTGTTCTAAGGCCCTCCTAGTCCTGATATCATTTTCAAAAGCCCCTTCCAGCTCGGATATTCTGTGTTCTAAGGTCTCTCTCAGTCCTAATACTGAGTCTGTGGGTTCATGGGTCCCTAGGGGGTGGGGCTAGAGTGTGGGTCACTTCCCTGCCCTGGGCTGGGGGAATGAGAAAGGTCTGGCTGGCAGTTCTCACAGGCCCGGGCCTTAAAACAGCCAGATGGGCCTGGCAGGCGCCTTTGTCCCAGCCTCCTCTCAGTCCTCCCCACCCCCAGCCCCAGGACACAGTGCCTAGCCTACAAGGTCAAATGTTAACTCAAGTCTCCCCCCCCCCTTCCTGGGGCCCAAAAGTCGTTGTTGCCTAGCGGGGAGCCTGAAGTGCGGGCGGGGCCATCGGTCAGGCCGGGCCATTGGTCAGGCTGGAAAGAGGCCCAGGATGGGGAGGGAGGCCCTGAGACACTCCTTGCCCTCTGTTCCCCTCCCCCAGGCCAGCAGGAATGTGGTGAGGTGGGGTTGGGGGGGTGAAATCCCCTCCCGATTGAAGAATGACCAGAATCTGGCCCTCAGCCACAGATTCTGGTTAAACAGGCCCCTTCTGAGACCTGGGTTTCTCTCCCCCCACACTACTCCTTTTCTTCCCCATGGCCTTTCCATATCCTAGGTCAGGGTAAGGATAGTCTGTGTATGAGCCCCTGGTAGAACTAAACCATTGAACTCTCACCCTCTCAGTGAGCCCCATCCCCTTATGAAAGTTCCCTATCTCATCTCAGTCCTTATCCTATTCCCTGAGACTTTATCTCCTCCACCCAGCCTCCACTTCTCACTGAGCTCCCATCCATTCAGTGATCTCCCATCTCCTCCCTGAGCTCTCATCCTTCAATGAAGCTAACATACTCTAGTCACCGATCCTCCATCCTTTTACAGACCCTCAACTCCCCACAGAGTTCCCACCCCCTCACTGAGCCCTCATTCCTTTCCAAGTCCCAACTCCTTCACTGAACCCCATTTCCCACCACCCACCAACTCACTCCTTTCCTTCTTGTCTTTAGGAGTTCGGTTCCTCTCAGGAAGTAGAGAATCAAGGAACAGAGAACACAGTAATACCGGCAGGAGGGGTTGGGAGGGGGAGGTTACTTAACAGCAGAAGACTGAAGGTGGGTGAGTGGGAAGGCCTTTTGTGGAGATGTGAGATCTGGCCTAAGTAAGAAGTGCCAAACAACCCCAGATGCCCTGTCCCTTCCCCTCGAACTCCTGGTTCCAGCAAGTTCTGTGTCCTTTGAAGGATTTAGGGAGGTGTGTATGTTGGAGGGAACTCTGCTGAAAGAATGTGGAAGACAACTTTGGGGTATATTCTAGAAGAGGCATTTTGTGGTGCCAGTGATTCTGACCAAATTCTTAGCAGGCATTTGGGATGGGGGAATGCTGACTTGACATTCACACAGTAAGCAGGGCTCTTAGAGGCCATTCTATTTCAACCCACACCAGAACAGGTGACCCAGAACCAGGCTGAGGATGAAGAAGGGGAGATGTTGACTGCCCCTCCCCCTATCTTCCCCAGGTACTGATGGAGCGTGGGCTGACTGGGCACACACTCAGATCAGAGACATTCCCCATTCTTCAGCTCTGCTCGGGCTGAAACTTAATCCTCCCATCCCTGGGCAGCCTTTGGGAGGAAGAAAGGGAGGGGGCGTGCTGAATGTGTGTTGGGGGGGCAGTGAGGAAGAATAAAAGAGGCACTGACCTTAGGTGCCTTAGGCTACATAGGGTGAGGCTCGTTTAACACAGTGGCAGTCTGCCAGAACTCCCAGGACCACCTCACAATGTGCAGAGTGTCCCTTCAGGGGAGGCCCACATGCTTTCACTTAGGTCCTCCTCTTTCTCCCCTGGGGACCACCTGGCTCCAGGTCCCAGCTTTTTCAATTCAAGAAATACATTAAAAGCCCAGCCCAGGAAATTACATTGGGCCAGGCCCTGGGACTACTGAAGGAAAAAACAACAAGAAACATTCCTTGCCCTCAGGGAGCTTAGATTCTCCCCAGAAAGTCGTGCTGTGCCACCTCACTGAGCCCTTAACCCTCTGACTGCAACTCCCCCAGGATCCTTCTCCCACCCTGCATTTCCCTCAACACTGTAATCTGTACCTAAGAACCCTTTTAACCTGTTGTTCTATTTACTCCCCAGGTTCCCTTTTGAACTAGAATTTAATTTTTATAGGTGTCAAGGTTGGCAGAAGACTTTCCTCACCATAACCCTATGAGTGCAAAGTGCTGCTATCCCCATTTCACAGATGAGGAAACTAAGGCTCAGAGAGATGACTTGCTCAAGCAAATTGTACCCCTGGGATCAGCACCCTGATCTCTGGACTTCAAATCTATCAAGCTCCAACCACAACCAGCTGCCTTGCCTTTCCCTCTCTTTCTGGGTCTGTATTCCTTTTCCCTCTGGAGAGGTGATGATTTCATTTTTCCTTTTTGCATTCACTTTACTTAACAGTGCCTGGCATGCAGAAGCCACTTAATAAATGCGTGTTGATTGACTGGTGGATCCTGTCCACTCTTGATCCTCCTTCTGTCCCCAGTTTGGCCTGTACAGCCCAGAGTCCTTCCCTGAGAGCCAAAGCCACAGTCCTGACATCTGACTTCACACACCTCCCTCACCCTGCTCCCAACCCAGACTGGTGGGGAGGGATAGTTAAGGAATTGGAAAGAGGGGTCATGTAGGTTTGTTTTTGCCCTCCCTCTCACTTGGCAGACTGGAAATTTCTCTCCTGCAGTTCCCTGAACACAAGATATAAGGTTACACTCACAGGAAGATTCTTCCTTTCCCCTTGCTGAGGAGCCCCTTTTGGAGAGACAGTCTTTGCTTCCAACTCACCCGAGTCCAACTCACCCGAGTCCTTTCTGCTCAGGCTCAATAATTTGTGGACAGTCAGACCTCTCTGGAGAGGTCAGAAGTGACTTAGGTCACAACTGCCCCCTAGCCAAGCCAAGGAGGTCGTGGCACAGGAGGCTAAGGACCAGGCTTCCAGGAGGCCAGTGGCTCCTCTTCTGCCCTGGTCGGTATGGTGGGATCACCCAGCTACATGACCCTAGGCAAATCACCTTACTTTTGCAAACCTATTTTTTCCTGGGGATAGTGAAACTCACTTGCACTCTCTATCTCCTCACAGGGTTGTGTCCAGGAAAGCACTCTGCAAATCTTCTGGAGCTATAGAAGTAAGCTGTTACCACCACTATTAATAACTGTCCCCAGTGGGAAGGAATTTCTCAGGCCATTTCCTGACAGTAGGTTGGGGAAAGGGCTGCTTTGCCAATGTGATTTGAAGGGACAGGAGAGCGAGGACTGGGACATGAAAGGCTGGAAGTGGAGGCAGGTCTATCAAGTGAATCATTTTGCTAAGAACCTCTTCCTGTCAGTGACCAATGAGAGGCATCCTGGGACAGGGGAAAGGGCACAGGATTTGGATCCAGAAGACTGAGGTTTATATCCCACCTGTCACCTGCTGCCTCTGTGAATCTGGGCAATTTGGATCTCAGTTTCTCCATTTGCAAGCTGGGGTGAGAGGTGGGGAGGGGGGATGGATTGGAGAGCCTTTAAAGTTCCTTCCTGTTCTAATGATTTCTATGATCCTACTCTCTTTCCTCTCCCTCTGATAAAGGTAAAGGCATTTCCAGGCAGACGTGTGGTAAATGGGGGTGGAAGTGCAAGATCAGTTTATTAACACTGCTGAAGCCCTCCTTTCCTTCTTTCCCCAGCTCCAGTTCTGGTCCATTCAAAGTTTGATTCCCTAGGTAATCTTTAATATCAGCACTCTAGCTCAGGCCAGCAGGGCAGGACTGCCAGACAGAGCCCAGTAGGCTGGCAGCCCTAATGGCCAGGCTCACCCACCTGAATCCCAAAAGAAGCTTCAGCACTTATTAACCCAAGAAAACCTTTCATCCAGGCCCCCCTCTGACTGGGCTAGTCCCTCCCCCAGCACCTTCTCTTTCCTCTCTGGCTCAGTCCCATGGCTCTTAGGCCCCTATTTCAATGAATTCACTTCAACTCATTTTATGGATGCTCTTATGGGGTCCTCTCTGGGAGATACCATGGCTTGGAGGTCAAAGCAGAACACCAAAGCTTGGAGGGCCCTTAGGACAGACCTAGGATATGTCTTAGAACATAGAATACTGGGGCCGGGAGGAATAAAGAATGTCAGTACTGGGAGAGTCCTTGGAACACAAAATGTCAGAACTGGGAAGGATATTACAATATAGAGTATCAGAGCTTCGGGGTGGGAAGATATAGGAACGCAGAATGTCAGTGCTGGGAGAGCCCTTAGGACTGAGAATGTGGGAAGTGGGAGAGATCTTAGATCAGAAAATGTAAGAACTGGAAGGGACCTTAGAACCAAGATGTGCAGAGCTGGGAGGGGGCCTTTTAAGTCATGGATCCCTTTTGGCAATGTGATAAAGCCTAAGGACCCTTCTTAGAATAATGTTTTTAAATGTATAAAATACATACAATTACAAAAAAAACCCCAATGATATTGAAATATAATTACTAAAATACTTTGAAAAGCCAAGTCTATGGACCCCAGGTTGAAAACACCTGATCTAGTCTGACCACCTCATTTTACTGATAAGGAAACTTGAGACCCCGGAATGGGAAATGAGTTGCCCAAGGTTATAAAGGTAGTTATTAGTATTAGACACAGGACTAGAAGAATCCAAGTCTTTAGATTACAACTTCAAGCAAACTTCGAATTTCAGGAACCCAACCCCTCCAGTTCCCTTTGGGTAGATACTATAAGGATGATAACAGAGATGGAGGGGGTGGTGCACGTTACCTGATAAGAACTGAGTTAAGGTGAAGGATGGCAGGATAAACCCAAAGTGGACCTTTCAGAGCTCTAGAGAACTGGTGTTCCTAGCTTGGGATCATAGGAAAAGATGACAGTCGATGGCCATTGGAATCTCCAGTCCCTCCTCCCTTAGAGTACTTCTCTGTCCCCTTCTTTCCTCTCCCCCTCCACTCCAATTTAGGATGTGAAATTGGTTCCTGGAAGAACTAGAGAAGAATCTCAAATAGTTCAGAGAAAGCTGCTCAGTGTCAGACTTCCAAGGTGGGCCCAGGGCATCTGTAATTCCCTTTTTCTATTGACCTAGGCCAGCCTTCCCTCCCTGCTTTAGCAAAGAAAATAAAGAGGTGGGGAGAAGGGGGTAAAGACAGAGCTCAACTTTGGCCCATTTCCTTGTCCAGGCAGGCACCGAGGTGGCCGGAGCAGGGCGGAGGGGAGGGAACCGGTTTGTTCTTCGGTCTGGCCTCCTGTCCTGCAGAACCCAGGTTCTGCAGGGCCATGGGGGGAAGGGGCCACTCGGGTCACTGCACATGGTAGGGAGGCGGAGGTGGGGGGCGTGCTCTGTAGGCTGTACAGGGGGCTGAGTCTCCTGGCTGTGAGGGGGCCCTGGAGGGGGGAGCGGACGTTTTGCAGCTTTGTGTAGCGCCTGCGTATTCCGGACAGGTCCTCCCCCGCAACTCCCCCACCCCAGGCGGGGAGGGAGTGTGGGGGAGGTTCTGCGGAATGTGGGGAGAAATGCCAGGGCTATGGGAGCAGCTCTGGACTTGTGTTTCCCCTGGACTCGGAGCGAGCGAAGGATGGGAGGTCGATGCCTTGGACCCACATTTGTGCCACGTCGTCCCCAATAAATGCAGCAGCATCCCCTATCCCCCCATCCTTGGGGCTAAGAAAGCGGCCAAGTGGCGGCTGTAGCTCTGGGCAGTGGAGAGGAAGGAGGACCCGGGGATCGGGAGACTGAGGGTGGAGGTGGGGGACCAAGAGCAGGGGCTGCAGTGCAGTGGCGAAGGGGTTAAGGCTTTGCAGCCGCTCGCGCCCTGGGGGGAGGGTCAGGCCTGAGCAGGCACATTCCTCCTCCCTCCCTCTCCCTCTCTCTCTCTCCCTCCCTACCTCCTCCTCCTCCTCCTCCTCTCTTCTTCCTCCTTCTCTTCCCCCCCCAACTCGTGCCCGGGCCGGGCGCGCGCTCTCTGACACCCATGTCCTTATAAGGGCGGCCGTCGCCCGGGCAACCGTCCTTCTCTCTCTCTCTCTCTCTCTCTCTCTCTCTCTCTCTCTCTCTCTCTCTCTCTCTCTCTCTCTCTCTCTCTCTCTCTCTCTCTCTCTCTCTCTCTCTCTCTCTCTCTCTCACCGCCCCTCCCCCCCTCCCCGCTTCTCTTCCGAATGGAACGTTGTGTGTCAAACCGGCCGCAGCGCGAGAGCTCGGAGGAGCAGCAGTGGCGGCGGCGGCTACAGCAGCAGCAGCCTTAACAGCCGGGCGGCGGCGGCCGCTGCAGGGACAGCGCCGCGGAGGCTGCAGCCTGGAGCAGACCCTCGCGCCCCGGGGGCTGCGGCGGGAGCCGTACTAGCTGACACGGCGCGGGCCAGCCCTGCCGGGAGCGGGGGCCGAGGCCGGACCCAGGCCGCGGACCGCCACTCTCGGCTGCCCCTCCCTTAGCGGAGCCGGAGCCCGGCGGAGGCGGAGGCAGGAGGAGGAGGTGGAGGAGGGAGGGGCGCCCGCCCGCTCGCCTGCCGGGGCTCGGGAACTTGCCGCGCCTCAAGTTGCAGCCAAACTTTCCTTGTCGCCGAGCTCGGGCAGCCGGAGGAGGCGGAGGCATTGCGGAGGCCCAGCCCCGCTAAGTTTGCCCCCGGCGCGAATAGGAGAGGAGAGGAGAGCGCCCAGGGCCGAGGCTCCCCGAGAGCCGGAGCGGCGGCGGCGGCAGGAGCAGAGGCAGCCAGCAGGAGGAGGAGGACGAGGAGGACGAGGAGACGAGGAAGGAGAGGGGAGGAGGGAGGAGACGGACAGCCCGCCCGGAGGCCAGGCCCCGAAGTTTCCCCGACGCGGGGAGGAGGAGGAGCTGGGAGGAAGGCGGAGAGGCCTGCGTGGGCCAGAAGGGAGCTGCCCAAGCCTCCGGAGCAGCACGAGTGGGGGCTGAGCCCCGAAGTTTCCCGGGCGCGGAGAGGAGGAGGAGGAGGAAGAGGAGGAGCAGCTGGGAGGAAGGTGCGGGCCGCAGCTCGGCCCTTGGGACTGCCGGCTGGGGAGGTGCCCCTGCTGCTTCTGCCGCTGGCGCGATGTCCCCGGGCCGGCCTGCCCTGGCCTCAGTCGCGGGGGCGCTGGGCCGGGGGACGGGCGGCACGCACTGCTAGCCCCGGCCCCAGCTCCGGCCCCGCTGCTTGGGAACGTGGTGCAGCCGCCGCCGCTCGCCACCTCACCCCCCCACCCCCATTCCTCCGGGAGCCCTTGCCGGCTCGGGAACCGGCCAGACCAGTTCTGCCTTCGGCCGGGACCGCGAAAAGTTGTTACCAAACTTTGCTTGTCTCCGGGCCCGCCGCGGGGCCCCCAGCGCCCCGGACAGCCCCGCCCCGCCCCGCTCCGCGCCCGGGGAGCGGTGGCTGTTTCGGGGGCGCAGCCTGATGCTCTTCGGGGGCGCCCCCCAGCGCCGGGCCTGCGCTGCCTGCTAGCTCCCCGCCTCCCCTTCCCCCGCACCCCCGAACCTGGGACCCCCCTATCCCCTCCCTGGAGGGGAGAATGGCTATGGTGACCGGTGGCTGGGGCGGCCCCAACGGGACACGAACGGAGTAGAGAAGGGCGGTTACCCCCGCACGTCGGAAGAGGACTCGGCCTCGCCCCAGGGCGGCGGCAGCGACCCGGAGCCGGGCGACGAAGACAAGCCCGGGCTCCAGGTGGACTGCGTGGTTTGCGGGGACAAGTCCAGCGGCAAACATTACGGTGTCTTCACCTGCGAGGGCTGTAAGAGTTTCTTCAAGCGGAGCATCCGCCGGAACCTCAGCTACACCTGCAGGTATGGGAGGGTGGGGAGAGAAGAGGAGAGGAGAGGAACGAGGTAAAGCCAGAGGCGCATCCGAAACCCTGGGGCTGAGACGAGGTCCAGTGTGCCTACGGTGCCCAGAGGCCTGAGTTCAAATTCCAGCTCTTGCACTCCATACTCCCTGGGTGATCTTGGCGAAGGCTCTTCCCTTCTCGGGGCCTATCATTTCCCCATCTGTAAAGTGAAAGACTTAGACTAGCTCCTTAGCTCTTGTCATATGAAACCTAGAAAGCTTTTTCTTCCCCCTCGTTTGGGCTTGCCCAGGCCCTTGGTGACCCTGCTGAACCTGCAGCAGCAGCCTATCACCTTGGGAAGACCACTGGACTGGCAGTGGGCAGGCCTGGGTTTGGCCTCAGTAGCTGAATGTCCTTGGGCAAGTCACTCCTCTCTGAGCCTCAGTTTCCTCATCCTTGAAATGGAGATAATCCCTTACTGCCTTATAAACTTGCTGTGATGGTAGAGAAGATCCATGGACATGAGCATTTTAGTAAACCATAAAATGCTATCTAAATGTAGGGCATTATTGCCAACTCTACCTATGCTTTCCCTTTAACTCCCTTCTTCCCTCTGACCTTTCATCTTTGACCCTCCCCTCTCCTTCTATTGCAGTCTCCTCTCTGCCCTCATTTAACCTTCTTCTGCCCTCCATGGCCCTTGAAACCTGGCATTGAGGGTGGGTGGGTGGGAGCGAGGGAATGGAGTTTGTGAGGCAGTGACCTCTGGCCTGGGCTGGGGAAGCAGGCCTTCCCTTTCCAGGGACAGTGGTCTGGAAGAGCCATCTGGGGCAGGCAGTAGCTGCAAGGCAGTGATTGAAGCAGGGAGGCCATAACCCCTCTTCTCTCTCTCTCTCTCTCTCTCTCTCTCTCTCTCTCTCTCTCTCTCTCTCTCTCTCTCTCTCTCTCTCTTTCTCTCTCTCCTCTCCCTCTCCCTCTCCCTCTCCAGCACTGAGTTAGGGACCTCTGGCCTCCTGTTTCTCATCTCTTTCCCCTTCCTCCCCCAACCCTTTTTCTTTATTGTGAAGAAAAGTATTTAGAGTGGCCCCACGTGGCATTTAGAACTTAGGATTCCTTTCAGGGCTAGAACCAAGAACCTTCTGACCTCTTTTTCCAAAGTCTGCACCCTCTTCTCAGGCAGCAGGGTGCCAGGAGTTGTTTTGGGGGCCTGGAAGTGGGATGGCTAGGCTAGTTAAGGCGTGGAGCTGGGGTTCTGCCCTTTCCCAGGTTACCCAGCCTGAGCTTTTTCATCCCCCTTCCCACCAAAAAAAAAAACCCAAAAAAAGCAAAGCCACAACCCAAACTGGGGCAAAAAATATTGATCCAGAATGACCATCAATTTCTAATCAAGGGTATTACTGTTACCAGTAAATAGCTCTTCTATGGTGGGGGAGATTTTTCTTTTTGGGGGGAGGGGTGTCCAGAACTATGTTATGAAACTCCTAGTGAAGAAATGCCTTCTACTAATGTGAGCTGCAAGCAGCTCTCTGTAGCTTTTGGCTTTGATGAATGGTCTGGGGTCTTGGAGAGGGTTGGGGATTCACCCAGGGTCATGCAGCCAGGCCTTCTCATATTCTAGGCCAGCTCTTTATATTCCCTGCTGGGGAGGTGAAATAAGACATCGTCTGTGCCCTTAAGGGATCATAGGATCCACAGGGGGACCCTGAGGTGTCTGAGCAGGGGACGGGGGTGTGTGTGTGCCAGATTCCTACTCTCCAGAGAGCCCCCCCCCCCAGTCCTGCCAGGCTGCTGCCCCAGCAGCTCCTATACCTGCCTAGCCAAGGCTGAGGTCTTGGCCTAGGGGCAGGAAATCATGGAAAACCCCTCTGTTTGTGGGCTCCAGGGCCGGTGCTCACACTTGACCAGCTGCCTAGCAGCGTGTGCTGAGGTGTTTGGTTGTTGATGTTTGAGCGGAGTGGTTGTTGTGTTTTGTGTGTGTGTGTGTGTGTGTGTGTGTGTTGTGTGTGTGTGTGGTTTAAAATGTTGTAAGTTCTCCACGGCTGCAGGGGCTTTTTCTTGCTCTCTGGCCAAGGGTTGAGGAAGGGTAGAGGAGAGGGAATGAAGGATAAGGTTGGAGCTAAGCAGGCCCATCCCAAGGGTGCTGTAGAGGCACCTAAAGAAGGACCCTGGATGCTCTGCCCTCCCAGCCTGGGAGCCGTGCTAGCCTGGCAGAAATGGAGGGTGAGCCAGACTCTCTGTCCCCACCCCCAGCCCACCTCCTCTTCCCAGGGCCAGAGGGATTGCCTGATGCCTCTTCCCCGGGCACTCTAGACATAGGGACACTCCCATCCAGACCTGGGCTTAACCCTCTGAGGCTCTAGCATGGCTGGGCTGACCCAACCCTCAGGTAGCCAAGGCCTCCTCTGTCCCTCTAGGGGCACTTCATTGGGGGAAGGGGGGAGAGGTGTGCTGTGCTTGGAGCTGGCTAATCCTCCTCCAGTGCCTGCCCTCCCCTCCCCAAAAGGGGAAATAAACCATTTCTAGCTGCACTTAATTGTCCTTACCACCTGTTTTCTGGCAGCCGCCTCCAACCAACCCACATTTGTTGGCAAGGAGGGGCAGGCAGGCTCAGCTTGATGTAGGCCTGCTAATTAGGAGCTGAGTAGGGCTCCCCGAACACCATCGCCTTTCTTTCCTAGGCCCTGGGCAGCCTAGGCGTGGTGCTGGACATGCATTTGAAAAATCGAGGGGCTTCCTAAGGGTCATTGATAGCTGCCTGAGACTGAGGAGCTGGACTGGTGAATGGAGAGAATTTTAAGTTAGTTCCAGCCCCCTGCCAGGTTAACTTTTAAAAGGGGGCTAGGACTCAGTCCCTAGCAAGATCTGGACAGCTTTTCAGATGCTGAGTTTCAGAGACAGAGGAAACTCAGTTCCAGCAGCCACATAATAATTGGGCCAGGCAAAGGCCTCGAAATAGTGACCTTGGCCTCATTAGCCAGAAGCGCTAACCATTGGTCAGGAGACCAGGTGTTACAATGACATTAATGATTGTCCTCTATCCCTTCCCCCAGTTCATCCAGCTGGGGGCTTGACGTGTCTCTGTCCCTCTTAGTGCCCTTGGCCTGTTCCTTCTACATACAAAAGAGCTGGGGTTTTCCCTGCCCAGTGTTGATTGGACCATGAAATGGACTGAGGCAGCTTCTCAGCTGGAACTTTGCCATGCTGCTGACCTCGTCCTTGGAGGGAGCTGCGGCCGCTGCTGAGTGACCTTGGACAAGTCACTCAGCCTCAGTGAGGCCCACGGGGGCAATGGACTGGATCAGCTCTGCCTTAAAGTGGGTGAAATGGTATATCAGAAGCAGAGGGCCCACAGGCATGAACTAGGTGGAATAGTGTGCCATCTTATTCTTTCCCCTGTTCAGTTTCTGGCTTTGTCATTGTATGACCTAGAGACAAGTCACTTCTTCTATGCCTCAGTTTCTCTATCTCTAAAATGAGGAATTCAAATAGATGATTTCTAATGGGCCTTCCTAGCCCTGGCGTTCCATGCTCTAAGGTCCTGCCAGAGCAGGTATTCCATGCTCTGAGGGTCCTCCTAGCTCTGACATTCCATGTTCTAGGAGCCCTCCCAGTTGTGACATTCAGTTTTCTGGTTTTCTTAACAAGAAAGTCCTTGGCTAAAAGTTGTAGTGGTTTGTTGCTTTGATTGAAGTCACCAACAGTTGAGTTACTATTACTGTTACTCTTTAGTATAGGGTCTTTGTTGTAGCTCCTACCCTCCTGGGAGCCTAGACAAGGGATCACTAAGTGACAGATCTGACCAAGCGTAGAATTTCTCTCCTCCCTCCTCAAGGGAGGGACAAGACTGAGGAGGGGGAGAAGTTACATGATGGGACAAGGTTTTCTTCCCCACAGCCGGGACCCTTCCAGGCCTCCCTGTCCTGTAAGCCTTTGTTGGTGTGGGCTCCTCTCAGCCCCTTTTGTATCATGAGGACGTGCCCTGGTCCCCCCCTTCCAGGTTGTGACTGTGGGGTCTGCCTGCCTCAGTTTGTGTTTTTCTGGGCAGCTCTGGCTTCCTCCACTGATCTGGGATTTGGAGGACCTGGTTCACCTCCTTTGCCAAGCCTCGTGCCACAGTCCCTGCTCCTTTGTCTTGGCCTATTTACTCTCTTTCTGACCTTGAACTCTGAGGGCCAGAGCCTGGCTCTGCCAAGCCTCTCCCAAGTTTATTGACGTGTAGTCATTGCTGCTCTTTATTCTTCTAGGGTCCTTGGCATTCTCTAAGGGTCATTTGCATTTCTGTCACACTGCATGCGAGGTTTACAAGATTCTTTCTTCACAATAATTCGGTGAGATGTAGGGCGGTAATAATAATTCCTATTTTCCAGATGAAGCGACTGAGGCTGAGGGCAGCCAGGTCTGCTTGTCACTAAGCCCTTTCTCCTTGACAAGGAGATTGATTCTCTCCCCTCCCCAGGCTTGGCTGTAGGCCACTCCAAACAACTCTGTTAGTGGCAGATACCCTGATTCCAGGGATTAGGGGGTAGATGAGTTACTAGGCCCAAGAGTAAACCTCCTCAAATCCTGCCCAAACCAGAGCAGGGTGGCCCTTGACTTTGGTATGGTTTGTTTGAGGAGTGTTGCTCGGCCTTTCCCAGGCACCAGGAAATTTTACTTTTATTTTTATTTTGGGGGGAAGTGGGAGGAGGGTGTAAGTAGTTACCAGATGAATGGTAGGGTCAGAATAGGGTCCATTAGGGACAGCACTTTGGCAGCATGCCCTCCTTCTCTTTCTCTTTCCCATCCTTCCACTTTTCAGACACTAGCTTGTCCATAGGAGCTAGGGCTCCTAGAAGATGGAATGTCAGAGCTGGGAGGACCCTTAGAGCATGGAATGCCTGGGCTAGGAAGGCCCATTAGAAATCATCTATTTGAACTCCTCATTTTAGAGACAGAGAAACTGAGGCATAGAGGAAGTGACTTGTCTCTAGGTTACCCAGTGACAAAGTCAGGAACTGAATGGAGGAAAGATCACCTTGGGGATGCTTTGGGGGGGTCCCCACATCCTAGTCTTCATCACACTTAGAACTTGCCTTAGGTATTTAGGGGTCTGGGAGTGGGTGTGAGGGAGGGTTAGAACTAAAGGTTCTAGAATTGTACGCTTAGAACTAAGAGGCACCTTAGAAACCAGCAAGTCAAAAGGTTCTTAGCTTCAGGTCCTAAAACTTCAAAAAAAAATTTTTTTGATAACTCTATTTCAGTATAATTGGTTTCCTTGGTGATGCTATGCATTTTAATTTGTGCCTTTAAACACATTATTCTGAGGAGTCCCATTGGTTTCACCACACTGCCATCGGGATCCAGGGCACAAAAAAATCCAGTCCTTGATTGACTCCAACCCCTGCATTTTACAGATGAAGAAACTGAGGCCCAGACAGGTGAACTGACTTGAAACCTGAGTGTCACTTGTAAGGGAGTCTCATCGGTAGTAAGAGGCTGAAGTAGGACTTGAACCCAGGACCTGTGCTTGCAGATTCAAAGTATTGCCAGCCATGGAACAAGGAGAAGCAGGGCCATTGGCCAGGGGACCCAGTAGTGGCCCCGAGTCCCTTAAGGTTCCATGGCAGCTGGCAACATCTCATGTTAGAACCTGGAGTATCAGACCTAGAAAGGTCTTAGAAACTGGGCCAACCTTCTCATTTTACAGAGGAGGAAAGCGGCTCATTGAGAGGCAGACCAGGAGTTGGAGTAATACAAGTAAGAATGTGGCCTCCTGAAGCCTTGGGTTCCACTGGCCCACTGTGTACTGCATACGAGTCTGCTTTTGAACATATTGGACTGGAGGTTGCTAGTAGGTCATGCAAGTGGAGATTGCCCACGAGTAATGAGAAATTCAAGCCTGGAACTTAGGACAGCAACAGCAGATGTTTATATGATACATTAAGGTGTGCAAAGCAATTCACAAATATCATCTATCTCATTTGATCTTCACTACAACCCAGGGAGGTAGATACTGTTATTATCACCCTCATTTTACAGATGAGGAAACTGAGGCAGACAGGTGAAGTGACTAATCCAGGGTCACATATCTAGTAAGTGTCTGGAGCCACATTTGAACTCGGGTCTTCCTGAGTCCAAGTCCAATGTGTCACCCAGTCAGGTTAAGAGGTATAGATATGGGAGTGTCATCTGAGACCATGGGAAAGGATGAGCAGCTAAGGGAGATTGGGTAAAGAGAGGACTGATGAGGGCCCTGGACAGAACCTTGGGGCGTTGCTGAATTTAGGGAGTAGGAAGATATGGAACCATGGAAAAAGAGGGGTGGGTTCATCAGGGATGGGAAGAGGAGAAGAGGGTGTCTCTGAAGTTGGAGGAGAGACTATCAGGTAGGAGGGGGTTAGCAACAGCTATGAGTCATGTAAGTAGGTTGAGAAAGGCGGGGGGCGGGGGGCTAAGAAAAAAGGTCCATTAGGTTTGGGCACCAGGAGGTCTTCTGGGCCCTTGGAAGAGCAGTTTCGGCAGGGGCCTGGATAAAGACGGAGGAGGTAACATGGCCAGGCTTCATGGCGGGGAGTGTCCTCCAGTGCCCCTCCACTTTCCGCATTGCCCTGTCGGGGATCCGTCAGCCACAGAATTCTCCATCCACCCTATTTATATCTCATCCTGGGTCACTGCTCAGGGGAATGAGCTCCATTTCTTTTTTTCCCTCTGTGGGAAGTAGGACAGGCTCTGGTTTGTCCTAAAACTCCCTCTTTTAGCCTTAAGAGTGGGACCCAGCCCTCATCTGCCTCATCTCTTGCCTCTTCTTTCCTCCTCTTTTCAGCTGTGGGCAAAGTAGAAAGGAAGAGGGGAAGACAAATATCTGAGACCCTAACCCTTTTCCTCTTCTGCCAGAGGACCACCCGGATTTCTGTCCTCCCCCATCCATCTTTGCTCCAGCATCCGAGGTTCAGAAGTCAGCCAACCAACCAACAGGCATTTATTAAGCACCTCCTGTGTGCCAGGCTCTGTGCTATCTGGGCACAAAAGGAAGACAACATTTTTCCCATTAGAGATGGTGAGCTTTTTGAGGGCAGGCAGTGGCAGCAGTATTGTTCACGTTTCTACTGCCTGTGCTATGTACAACACTGTATGGAATGTGGGGGCTGCTTCCAGAATGTCAGAACTGAGAGATGCCTTAGAATGAGACCTTAGAATTCAGAATGTTCATTGGGCTCAGCTGACTGTTCTGCATTCGAAACTCTGTCCTACCACCCACCTGCCACGGCCCCTGTGGGAGAATCCTAGGAGATATGGAGAAGGCCAGATGCATCTGTTTCACAGATGAGGGAGCAGGTACAGAGGTTAAGTGACAGGTCATATTACTAAGTAAGTGTTGGAACAAGGCCTTGAGCTTGGGTTCTTCTAAGTTCAAAGACCAGTGTTCTTCCCTCCCTTTTCCGCCCCCACCCCACCCTCCCCCTTACTGTGTTTGAGCTAATTTTCCCTGTGACTGATCAAAGGAGCTCCAGATGGCTCAGGTTTGGAGTCTCTACACCTGTGTGGAGGGGCTGCTTGAGACCTCGGAGGAGGTTTTGATCCCCCAACAATGAGCCTGGTTTTCCCAACATGATCCCTTGGGCCCCAGTAGAGGTAGGATACAGGAGATGAGAGGCTGCTCTAGGCAAAGGGGAGTAAGCTGTTCATCCAGATGAAGAGGCATCTAGGCCTTTGGATCTTGTCACCCATTAAGACTAGGTAACTCCGTGGGCCCTGGCAGGTTCTTAGCCAGCCTCTCTGCCCCTTCTGTGAAAGCAGCAGCCCTGTGTCCTTGCTGGGCCCAGCTGCTGGTGAGGCAGGCTCCTTGACCTGTACCGATTTGGGAAGGCCACAGCCAGAAGCAGGAATGATTTTCAAAAGTCAATCTATAAAATAGAATTCTTCCGTGCCTTTCACATAGGAGCTGGGCTGGCCAGGCCCCAAATGTGACTGGATTGAATGAGAGTCTTCTGTTCTTTTTTCTTAGCCTCCAGAGCTGGGCTCATTTTTGGTTGCCCAGAACATAGACAGGCCTGCTGATGGCTGCCACAGCAGCCCGGGAGCTAGCCAGGGTCACAGTGGATAGCCTCTGAGCTTCTGGGAGGAGGCTTTGGGGGTCAGGGAGTCCAGACGCCTCTGCGTCTCACTTCCTCACACACACACACACACACACACACACCTTGGCACACAAGGAAGCTGGAGCCCAGAAGAGGGGAGGATTATGTGATTTTAGAGTGGTGAGAGAAGCCAGCACTTATCTGGTCCATTTTCCTCATTTTGTAGGTAAGGAAAGTGAGGCCCATAGAGGACCAGGGGCTTGTCTTGCTTAAGATCGTAGGAAGTGACAGAGCTGGGATTTGAACTGAGGTCTTTAACCCCCACGTGGATCTGCCCTTGCCCTAGGGAGGGACCTGTCCCCACTCATACAGGGAGTTAGTTGCAGAGATCAGATGAGAATCCAGGGTTCTTAGGTAAAGTGGGGGGATGGGGCAAGGCAGCATCCATGCTGTGCTCCCTCCCTTCACTCAACAGTAACCAGTAAGAGTGGTGCTTTCACTCATAACAACTCTGGGAGGGAGGAAGGTGATGCAGCTGTATTATCCCCACTTTACAGATGGGGACAGCAGTAACTGAGGCTCAGAAGGGATAAGGGGCTTGGCAAGGGTCGTGAAGCCAGTAAGTATCTGAGCTTGGTAGTGTTTGGGTTCCCACTTTACCCCATATTTTCGATCTTGGATTTGAATACTGACCGTGGCACATCCTCCACCCTGCCCTGCAGGTCCAACCGAGACTGCCAGATTGATCAACACCATCGGAACCAGTGTCAGTACTGTCGCTTAAAAAAGTGCTTCCGGGTCGGCATGAGAAAGGAAGGTAAGGCTGGGCTAGGCCCCCCGCCCTGGGTAGCAGCAGCACACCGGCCAATAGCCCTTCCGTGAGAGGAGGCGGCCTCAGTGACCTGAAAAGCCTGGGCTTCATTGCCTTCCTGGAGTCCATGGGAGGTCGGCAGGGTTTGGACTTTGTGGGTATGTTGCCCAGAATTGTCCAGCACCCTGTCAGAGGTCCCATTGTGAGACTATATGGGGATCCAGGCTTCTGCCCATTCTGTCGTCCTGGGGCCAAGTGGGAAAGTACAGAGGGCAACCAGAGATGATGGAGTCTGGGGAACAGTGGGTGGGCGGGGGCAAGTGTGCCAGTCTTTGAGGATTTTGGGGGGGGGTTGTGGGAGGAGGAAGGGGCTGAGGAATCTAATCCCCCCTGGTTGTAACAGATCTGTTCACTGGCTCTCCTGGCCACTCCCTGGGGCCCTTAGCCTGGGCCTGCCACTCTGACTCTGACTGCCTCAGTGGGCCCTCCCGTGCAGTACTGTCCTTTCCTGGGTGCTGGTCTCCCCAGTACCTGAGAGAGCAGTCCCTAAGGAGAAGGGGAGGGGCTTTCATATTTCTTCCCTTTATTATAAGGGCCCTAGTACAGGAAGATTGCCCAGAGGCTGGCCAGGCCTTTGGGCTCCCTCTCCCTCTCTATTTCCCCTTCCCCTGTCCTGGTCACCCTGCCCAGGTCGCTCTGACCTTCCCACCTCCAGCCTGGGGAGGCTTGGGGTTTTGTTTTTTGTCTCTTACAAGGGCCCTTCATTTTACCTAGTCTCTTCCACCTGTGTTTGCCGAAGGCAGGAAGCATGCCCTGCAAAGGCAAGGTGCCCTGCTAGCTAGCTAGCCTGACTGCATGTCGGCTGCTGCCTCCCCTGCGTCCCCCACGCCCTCCCCCCCCCAGACGGGAGGAGTGCTGTTGGCCTTCTAGTCATGACGTACTGACTCAGGCTACGGAGAGAATTCTAGAATAGAACCTTGGCACCACAGGGCCGGGAGGGCTTCAGAAATGCGCCGGCTCCTGCAGCTTTTGGATTTTGGAGCCAGATAGAGTGCTGACCTGGCTTCAGATCCTGCCTCTGACCCTTCCCTAGCTGTGTGATCTAACCTAGTCACTTCTTTTTCCATGCCTCAGTTTCCTCATTTGTAAAGCAGTGATGCTAGGATGTCTAAATGCTGCCAGTTCTTTGCTCTTGACTCTCCGTGAGAGTGAGACCCAGATTATCTAGATCTCAATTCTACTGTTGGAGCTCTGTGGCCCTGCTCTGGGCCCAGATTTCCTGAGGGCCAGGATAAGGCCAGAGGGTGAGAGGGAGCAGCCTGACCCTCCCCTTCCTCTGTACCTGAGCCAGGCCATGTGATCTCAGGGCACAGGTCCACACCCAGCTCATCAGTTACCTGACCTCTGGGCTCTCCAAACTCCTGTGGAAGGGGGGGAGGGGGAGGCCTCTGGGAGGGTCTGTTAGTGTTCCAAGGTCACACCTTTCCCTCCTTGCTTCTGGCCTATCAAGGCCCACTGTCTTCCACTGACCCAGGATCTGCCCTTTTCTCCACTAAAGTCCTGAATCCTAAATCCCACCCTCCAGAGAGCCTTGGAAAAATCCCCTTCCCTCTGAGCAAGCCCAGAGACTGGGCTTGTCCTTTCCCTTCATTCTGGGTTGTAGCCAGCTGTGGCCCTGTGGGGGAGGGGGAAGGGGTGGGGCCAGAGCTAGGGAGGCCTAATGCTAGGGCACTTCTGGGGGGAAGGTCGGCCTTGACCCTGGGCCCATTAGCTGGTAGCAGCCTGGGGTCAGGAATGTTTCACTCTAGGTTTCTGGTTTATTCAGACCTTCTGTGTTTTTGTGACCTTAGACCAAGTCACTTCCTTCTCTGGGCTTCAGTTTCCCCGTGTATAAAATGAGACCATTGCACAAATTGCTCGTAAGCTCTTTAGATCATTAAGGCTTCCTGCGACTCCAAACCCTAAAAAATCTCATGGAGCAGTGAGGGCTGTTACTCTCTCTAGCTCCCCTCCTGCCCGCCAGCAGATGAACTTGCTCCCTATTTTTATTTCCTGTGGGTCCCCAATTCCCTGGGTCTGCAGGGCAGGGCCAGGCGGGGTGTGTCTCGGCTGGTGCCTGCTGTGATCTCCAGGGCCTTCCTGCTAAAGCCAAGAAGCAGCTTTCCCTAGAGCTCTGTAGAAGGGGGTAGGCTGGGCTGGAAATTATAACAGTCTTTGCTCCCCGTGTACGTACACACACACACACACACACACACACACACACACAACCCACACACACACACACACAACACACCCCCCTCTGCCATTCCGGTCAGACGGGTGAGCACTGGCGACTCTGCAAGGATGGAGGAGGAGAGGGACAGACGTGTTGACCTGACATAGATGGGGTGGGGGGTAGTCCAATAGAGGGGAAAGAAGCCTAGGCTGGGAGGCCAGAGACTTTAATTCTAGTCTCAGATCTGCCTCCAACTCACTGTGTGGTGTGATCCTTCTTTATCTCTGCCTGGGCTACAGTATCCTTACCTAAAACGAAGGGGATTGGGATGAGGTGATCTCTCTGATGTCTACCAGACCCAGCCAGCTGTGATGATAAATTGCCCTCAGTCCCCGCAGGACCATGGAGGGAATTGGGGACAATAGAAAAGATTCTTCCCCTTCTCATCACACACCAGGTTCTCCCCCCCCCGCTCCCCCCATTTTGTCCAGCGATCTGGTCCCAACCTTCCCTGTCCATCCAGTGGTCCGGTCTGTTCCTTGGGAGTGACTGGGATTCTTTCTCTGCTTCTCTGTCCTCCTTCTGAGCCCTTCCCACAGGCCCAGGCCAGGGACAGATAATTGCCCTGGTTCCCCCCCCAGGGCTCTGAGTGCTGCCACTTCCCCACCAGGGGGAGGGGCACACCCGTGCCTCCTGTCTCTGGGCTGCAGCTGTGTGGGCTGGCTTGTCCTGTTTCTCTTTTGTTAGGCTGGCGCATGTGTGCATGTTTATCTGGCTGGCTAGCGGAGGTGTTGGGGGCAGGTTCCCCCCCTGGGGATACGTGCGTTGGGAGGGTTGAGGTTGTTGTGCCAGTGTGGTTGTGTGTGTGCTGCCGAGGAATGAGAAGGGCCTCACGACACTCTGGGGGCCTCCCTGTCTTCTGACTTACTCCCCAGACCCTTCCTTCCTCCCGTGGCCCCTCTGGCAGGGCAGGCAGGGCTGCTATCAGGCCTGGAATTTTCCTCTCCCCAATATTGATGCAGTCCCAGAATCTTCCTAGGGGACATGGCCTTCAGCATTAAACCTAGGTGTGGGGTGGGGAGGGGGCACTTAGTGGAAATTTATGTCACTTGTTCTAATGAACTTGTTTTTCCTTGTCCCCATCTGACCCTACTGGTTTCTCCCTTCCTCTCCTGCTCCCTTCAACCCTATCTGATTTCATCTTTGTCATCCCCTCCTCTTCTCAATCTCTTTCAATTTCATCTTTTCCACTTTCTCTTTCTCCTCTTTTCTCTGTTTCTCTCTGCCTATGTTTCTGTCTCTCTCCCTCTTTCACCTTTCTTTCACCCTCTCTCTGTCTTTTCATCCTGATGTCATTCTCCCGTGTCCCCTTTACCCGATCTCCCCACAGCGGTACAGCGGGGCCGGATCCCCCACACGCACTCGGGGGGCAGCCCCACAGCGCTGGCTGGAGGTGGGGGTGGGGAGTACTTCAATGGGCAGCCAGTGTCGGAGCTGATCTCGCAGCTGCTCCGGGCAGAGCCATACCCAGCAGCCCGCTATGGCTCCCCAGTACGCCCAGCAGCAGGGCAGCGTCATGGGCATCGACAACATCTGTGAGCTGGCTGCCCGCCTCCTCTTCAGTACTGTGGAGTGGGCCCGGAACATCCCCTTCTTTCCTGAGCTGCCCGTGGCAGACCAGGTGGCCCTGCTGAGGCTCAGCTGGAGCGAGCTCTTCGTCCTCAACGCCGCACAGTCTGCCCTGCCTCTGCACATGGCCCCGCTGCTGGCCGCGGCCGGCTTCCACGCAGCGCCCATGGCTGCTGACCGCGTGGTCTCCTTCATGGACCAGATCCGGGTCTTTCAGGAGCAGGTGGATAAGCTGAACCGGCTGCAGGTGGACTCTGCAGAGTATAGTTGTCTCAAGGCCATCGCCCTTTTCACACCAGGTGGGTTGGCTTTGGGCTCCTGGGGCTGCCCCATGCCCTTCCTCTCCACCCTCCCACCCCCCCACCCCCCGCCAGCTTTAGCATCTTCCATAACCCAGGGATTCCATGTATCTGCATCCAAGGGCCTTCGTACCCTGGCTGGGTCCATCAAATGTTCTTCCCCCCTTGCTACCCCTTCCATATGTCTTGACCCCCTGGGAATTCCAGATCTCAACCTTCTCCCCTGTGCCATTCTTCTTGGGGGCTGGGGAGGACAGCACTTCTGTTCATCCTGCCCTCTCTGGTGGCCAGAGGCTGCCACCCTTGAGTGGCAGAACCCATCTTGGGGTGAGGGGATGGTTACAGGGCACATTTGTCTGTGGGGGTGGGGAACTCCAGGCCCAGCAGCTGACAGGCTGGGGCTTGGGCCCCCATGTCTCTGGCAGATGCCTGTGGCCTCTCAGACCCAGCTCATGTGGAGAGCCTGCAGGAGAAGGCGCAGGTGGCCCTGACGGAGTACGTGCGTGCCCAGTACCCCTCGCAGCCTCAACGATTTGGCCGCCTGCTTCTCCGGCTGCCCGCCTTGAGGGCTGTGCCTGCCGCCCTCATCTCCCAGCTCTTCTTCATGCGCCTCGTGGGCAAAACGCCCATCGAGACACTCATCCGGGACATGCTGCTGTCTGGCAGCACCTTCAACTGGCCCTATGCCGCTGGGCAGTAGGGGTCTGGCCTGGCAGGGCCCTGCTGTGCCTCTGCTGCCCTGTCTGGCCAAGGCCATACCTCAGGCTCCTCATCTATCAAATGGGGAACGTAGCCTCTGCCATTCGCATGTTGGGACCAGCGCAGAAGGCCGCGCACCCTCGACCCTGGGGACTGGATCGACACTTAAGACTGGTTATTTTTTAGAAGGCAAATGAGATCATTTTGTCTTTTTTTTTTTTAATGACAACATAAAACCAAAAAGACCCTCCCTACTTCCCTCGGACTGGGACCCTGGTGGCACAGATGCCTCTCCTTCACCCTTCAGTGCCCTCCGTCCATCTGTGCTCAGGAACCAGCTAGCCTTTGAAGCCTCCTAGGGGGGAGGGAAGCCTGCAAGGTGTGGGGATGCCCTGGCCCACCTCCTCTCAACCCTTCCTTGCCTCCCAAAATGCATGTCCTGGGCCGTATCCCAGAGCTACCAAGAGTGGAGAGAACATAGCTGGCACAGAGAGGCCAGGTTCTCCTGGCAGACCCCGGGGGCTGAGGCCAGGTTGGCAGCTGGGGGCAGGAGTAACTCAGCCTCCTAATTCCTTCTGCTTGCCAGGTGGGGGGCAGCGAGGAGAGAGAAGGGAGGGTGGCCCCTGGCCCGGGGCAGGAGCCACGGGGGACATGAGTATATATAATTTAGATTGATTCTCTAAAAATATAATCCATGCTGGACACTACAAAATGAATGACCTAAAGCCAATAAAGATGTTTCTTACCACAGGGGTGACTCCTTCTTTGGGGGGGTGGGGCAGAAGACTTTGGAAGGCCTCCCTTTTAGTCAAATCGTGGCCCTGAGCTTCCTGGTCTTTGACACGGATTCTATTAATCCTGTCTGGCTGTGGAAATGAGTGTCCCGTCAGGGAGGACAGGAGAGGGGCCTGTGGGACCTGGACCAAGGGTCCGGGCCGCAGAAGCAAACCTGGCTCCTTCAGGTCCTTGCCCTCCCTGCCTGGTACCTCATGTGACCTTGGCCAAGATGGGGCCTACGTTTTATCTGCCACATGTGGACGGTTGTCCCTGCCCTTTTTATTCTGGGACCCAGCCACAGGCCACCCTACCTGTTGCCCCTGTGCCAGTTGCAGGAGGCCTGGGGGCAGCTGCAGGCCCAGTGACTGGCTCTCAACCAGTTGGCTTTCCTCCTCCCCACCCTTTCCCCCTCTTCTCTTTTGTACCATCTTTCCTATCACCTCTCCCTCCATCTGCTCTTCATGAAAGCAATGGTGTGGTAAGAAGACCAGCTGTGTAACCTTTGTTAAGTCACCAAGCTGTCTGAGTTCCACGTCCTACATCTGTAAAATGAGAGAGTCCCTGCCATCTCTAAATCCTGGAATCTCCTCTCTGTCTCTCTGTCTCTCTGTCTCTCTGTCTCTCTGTCTCTCTGTCTCTCTCTCTCTCTCTCTCTCTCTCTCTCTCTCTCTCTGTCTCTCTCTCTCTCTCTCTGTCTCAGCCCTCGCCTCCATTACTTTTCCTACTAATGTTCTCACACACCAATCTCCAGACTTTACCCAAGCTTGCTAAAGTCCCATTTGACACCTCTTAGGGTGAAGGCCCTTCCCATTCCCCCCAAAAGATTGGGTGGTCTACCATTCAGAGGTTCCCAAACTTATTTGACTTACCACCCCTTTTTCAGAAAAAAATTACTGAGTCTCCCCCTGGAAATCTACTTTCATTAACCTTTTAATGTTTTTGTTTTGTTTTTTTAATTTGTCACCCGAGAGTACTACCACCCCTCTCCCATTGTTCCAGTGCCCCCCAAGGAGTGGTATTGCCCACTTTGGGGACTTGGGGACCCTAGATGATCCCTGGGTTGGAAGGCCCAAGAGAGGGGGTACCGTTATTAAAAGCGCTATTGGCAGTGGAGACTCCCTGTTTCTCAGATCTGAAGGGAGTGTAGAGGGCAGAAGCATCCTTGCCTCCTCCTCCCTGCCCTGACCCTGGCAGGAATGAGGCAGAACGAGGGAGTTCCCCTGGTGTGTCTTAGCCACTGGAAGAGGAGCTGACCCTGATGCTGCTTCAGGTGGAGGGCCAGCTGATGGGAGCTGAGATGTACCAGGGGCCCCATGGATTCAGGATAAGAGAAAGGCTATGGCCGCCAGTTTCTCTCCCCTCACCAAAGGAAAGGCTAATGAACTTTTAGCAGGGCCATCCATTTCTTTCCTGCCCCCATCTGATTTCTTCCCAGTTCTTGAGGATTTTTTCCTGCTTCGGACATTTTGGCCCAGCACCTGCTGCCTGGGGGATCTGCTACCCGATTTCTTGGAGGCCTGCCTTCTTGAGTTCTTGATGACCAGGGCAGCCGGACCTTAGGGCTTGAGGCCACCTGCCCCCTCCCCCCTTCCCACAGTAGGGAAGGCCCCTTCCCACAGAGCAGAGCAGACTTTATTGGTGTATACATCAGCTTCAGGCTGCTGAGCCTCCCCCTCCCACCCTCAACCCTCCTCGGGGCTGGGGCCAGCCTTTCTGGCTGCCATTGCCCCTCTCCGGGGCACTGGGGGACTGTGGCTCCTGGCCCAGCAGAGCAGTTCATAGGAAAACTTGGGGAGGCTAGCTTCCCATTACAGGGCGGGGGAGGGCAAGATCCATGGCACCCAATCTTTCCCATGGCATGTAAAGAGACGGTTCCCGGACCAAGGGCCTGGGAACCCCGTTCCCAGAGGGCCTGACCCTCCTCCTCATTAGCTTCGGGCCTGGTCGTAGGCCCCAACCATGCGTTTGATATGGCAAAGCTTGTCTCGAAGGCTCTGGGTCTCCAACTTCTTGCTTTGGTATTCCGGACTCTGGTGGGAGAGAGAAGGAAATGGGTAAAATGGCCAACTGATGGACCAGCCTCGGCGGGGGGGGCCCGCATCCTGCTCATGTCTCCTTTCCCCAAACCCCAGAAATACCTCCCACTGGGGAAGGGGAGCTCCAAGCAGCCCGAGCCTGACACCCTAGTACTTCCAGGGAGGGGACATGCCCACTTCCCTGGGGAAACAGGTGAGGGGCTGCCAGGGATAATCTTGGGCACCTTACCCTCTTCAAGTCCTTCAGCCGGTTGTACTCTTCTGCAACACCCTAGAGAGGAAGGAATGGGGGGCCCCTTCAGACTCCACCAGGAACCCCCCCGTCCCTCTATAATAGTTCACCTCTCATAACAATCCTGGGAGGTAGGTCATGTAAATGTTAGCCCCTTTGTGAATCTGTATCACCTGCTGGGCCCACTCGGCCACCCTGGCCATCTCTGGTCTAAGCCATGCTCGCCCACAAGACCAGCCTCCTCTCCCTGGAACTCTGACCTCCACCTCTGAGGCCCTGGCATCTGATGAGCTTTCCTCTTCTTTTACTTGGTTCAAAGCCCGCGATCCTGGTCATCTCCCATCTCCGAGCTGTGCCGCTGTGGACGCACCTGTAGCCCTACCTCCTTCCAACTCTTGGGTCATCTTCCCCCATTAGAACTGAAGGTCCTCGAAGGCTACAACTAACCTGCTCGTTTGTAGCAAAGTACTCAGCACATAGTAAGCATTTAACAGATTCTTTTCCCTTAATTTGATGGGTGAGGAAACTGAGCCTTTGAGAGATGAAGGGACCAACGTCCTGACTGTCCACAGCTCTTGCTATCACACCACGGTCTTCCTTGGGGCCTCATTCTTGCTTCGGCCCCCGTGGGATGTTGCTTATTAGGCCTGCCTGGTGGGCCGAGGGATCTGTCCACAGCCACAGTATTCTGACCTGGTGGGCAGAGGGTAGGGGGGACTCATCCCTGCTCTTTGGGAACCCTAGGTCTGAGGGGCTGCTCAGTGGGTCGGGAGAGGGAAGGGGCTTAGGTGGGAGAACAAAGGCCTCTTGTGAAGTGACACCAGGCCTGGGCAAACCAGTTCTCTGGGCAGCTAGGGGAGGGGCTGAGCTGGCAGCTTCCTGCTAAGGTCTTAGGGGAACAAGAGGAGGCAGGGCTGACACAGATAGTGCAGAGGAGAGGGCCTGAGGGTGGAGGTGAGAGGACCACCAAGGGTCTGGTCCCAGTCCTATCACTGTGGTGTTACCTGGAACCAAATCACTTCTCCTCTCTAGGACTCAGTTTCCCCAGCAGCAAAATAAAGGATTGGACTATATGGGAAGGGAGGGAAAAGAATATAGGCATTTATTAAGAGCCTACTATGTACCAGGCACTATGCTAAGTGCTTTGCAAGCATTATTTTAATTTGATCCTTAGATGGTTTCCGAGGTCCTCTCTGGTTTTGATATTCCATGTTCTATGTTCTGTGAGAGGTTTAGTGGGAGGAGCCCTGGATTCCATTAGGATCAGGAGAGACCTGGGATGGAATCCAGTCTTACTAGATGTTTGACCAAGGGCAAGTTATTTTTCTGAGCTTCAGTTTCCTCGTGCAAAATGGGGATATTGTGAAGAATGAAATAAGATAATGTATGTAAAGCACTGTAAAACAGCTGTACAAGTGCCAACTGACAAGAAGAAAGTGCCTTCTAGGAGCTCTGATATCCTGCGGTCTAAGAGCCCTCCCAGTCCTGACATTGTTCTCAGGGCCCTCCCAGCTTGGAAATTCTTTGTTCTAAGGTTCTTCTCAGCTCTAACATCAGTGTTCTAAGGGCCCTCCCAGCCCTGATATTCTGTGTTCTAAGGGCCCTCCCAGCTCTGACATTCAGTATTCTAAGGGCCCTCCCACCTCTGATATTCTGTGTTCCAAGAGCCCTCCCAGCCTTGACATTCTCTATTCCAAGGAATCTCTCTCCAGCTTTGACATCCTCTATTCAAAATCTCCTTTAGAATCTACAGTTCCAGGGGCAGCTAGGTGGCCCAGTGGATAGAACACTGGCCCTGGAGTCAGGAGGACCTGAGTTCAAATTTGACCTCAGGCACATAATACTTCCTAGCTGTGTGACCCTGGGGCAAGTCACTTAACCCCAATTGCTTCACTGAAAAAAAACCCTACAGTTCCCTATTCTAAGATATTAGAAGAACCCTTGGGATAGCCTCTAGCCTGGGATGTGTAGGACGTACTTTCAGCTGCAGAGAGAATGAAATGATGGCTGGTCCCCTTGACCTCCAGCCCCTGTCCTGTCCTACCCATTCTGTTCCCTGTTCCCCGTGGCCTTCACCTGGTAGCGTAAGCTGCCTTCCGGGAGGCAGTCCAGCTCGTGACTAAGCTGCCTGAGCTGAGCTCCAATGTCGTCCATCTCCAAACACAGAGCTTTGTACCGCTGAAGGTCACTGTTGAACTCTGCCTTGTACGTCTGGCGGATGGCATCGGAGATGATAGGTGGGTAGAGGCTGCAAGCAGGGCAAGGGGGTGTGGGTACTGGCTGGGGCGGGAGGAGTTTTGGAGCCTGGGGCTCTACTTTGCTCCTTCCTCCTCTCCCTGGCTTCCCAGGCATTTGCATACCCGTATATCCTGCAGGTCTAGGTGCCCATATGCCAATAAGGGACAGCCAATGGCTACCAGGCTCTGAGGAACACCTAGGTCGGTATTCTCTTATCAATGGCATGGAGGTCTACACAGAGCCTCGGGGGAGGGGAAGGAACCTCCCCATCCTGTGACCTCTCTCAGGGGAAGTACCTCTGGATGCTAGGGGACTGTGGATAAGCCTCTTGGGGGCCCACAGCCCAGGCCTCACCTGGCCCAGTCATCCCGGTTCCGCTCTTCACTGGATTCTGCTGCTGTGGTATAATCTGTCTCATACTGCGCTTCCTCCAGGCCTGTTGGACGGATTCTTTGGCGCTGGCCCTGCCTGGCGGGGGGCTGACTCACAGGCCCTTTGTCTTTTTCTTCTGGAGGATTGGGCCCTGCAGGAGGTGGGGGACTGGGAGAAGGGTCAGAGAATGCTGAGTTCTTGTGCCCAAGTTGTGGATTGTGGGAGGGGGGAGAGGTTCTGGCCTCTAAAGTGCCCACCCCCAAGGAGCCCATGCCCACCTATGGATGGAAGGGGTTGGGTGGCCATAGCCATTCTCCTGGGCTGGCAGGAAAGCACTGGTCAGGGGACTGGTGGGCTTCTCTGAGTATGCCAATGTGGCGATCTCATCCTGAGTGCCTGCATCACCAGATACGTTCTTCACCTAGGAACAATAAAAGCATAAGAGCTCCCATTTTGATGATTCTTTAGAATTTTAAAAGCCCTATCCTCTTAATAACCCTCTAGCTGTTACTATGCCCATTTCACAGTAGGGCACATTGAGGCCCAGAGGAGTTAAGCCATAGAATCATAAAATGCCAGAACCAGAAGGGATCTTAGAACCCAGAACTACAAACATAGAACATAGGAGCTAGAAGAGATCCTAGAAAGAAGAATGTCAGAGCTGAGGGGGAGCTTAGAGATTGTTTTCCTTCATTTTGCTGGCGAGGAAACACAGTAAAAAGAAATGACTTGCTCAAATCTTGCAACTAGTCCTTGAGGGCAGAACTTGGACCTTGTGACTCCAAATTCAGGGTTCTAGTAATGCCCCTTTGGTAGCCAGGCAAGGGGATGCATGGGGATTTGGCTCTTTGGGGTGAGGCTTGCAGGTTCCTGTCTGGGTGGGTATAACAGCCCCTGGCAGATGAGTCATAACTGAGCCAGGCTGAGAAGAGCAGGCGGCACTGAGTGCTTGGGGGCAGAAGACCGGTCTATATCACCTCTGAGATCCCTTCCAACCCTAAGAGGGTGCGAGTCTGAGAGCTGTGGCCAGTAAGAGGGGGGATAATCCTCAGGCCTTAGACGTGGCACTGTGTGCCCGTGGGATGTTTCTGTGAGGGGTGGGGCAGAATTGACTTCATACTCCCCTGGTCAAGGACCCATCTGGGGCACTGAGTCAGTCCCAGCTCCTCCAGGCCCTTCTCCCCTGGCTTTTGCCTCCTTCTTCCTGACTGTCTCAAGGATTTGAGTCCTCCTGAAGGAAGGTTAATGATTGCCCCTCCTTGGAGAGCAGGGGGAGAGGGTAAGATTAAGGGCCCCAGAAAGGCAGTATGGTCTGGCAGAAAGAATGCTGGATTTGGAGACTGGGGCCCAGTCCCTGCTCTGACAGTTGCTACCTAAGTGAGCCTGAGGAAGTCAACTCCTGTCTCAGTTTCTTTGTTTGTGAAAGGGGTCTAAGAACGATAAAGCTTCTAGGCTGGAAGGGAATTGTGGGTCAAGCAATTTGTGAACTGTCCTATAAATATGTGTGAGGGGGAGGGGAGTTCTATCAGTGATACCTCCTCTGGTCCTCTCTCCTTCAGATCTTTCTCTTTCCTCCTTCCTCTCTGCACTATGTCCCAACCCCCAGCCCCACTCCAAACCATAAACCTTAGATTTCAATCACCCCTCCCCCACCTTTTAAAAAACACATCCTGGGTTTACTTGAATTCAGAGACACATGAAGGACATGACAGTCCTTGCTCCCCTCCCTATGTGTACTTTTAAAATTCTCCCAGGAGGAAACATCGCTTCCGGGTACGGGTAAAGCCTTGGTTACACAAAGCACAAAGAGTCTGTCGGAAAAGACCTCAAATGCAGTGGAGTCTGTGTCTTTATCATTTAGGGATCCTGACTTCTGGAGTGCTGTCTCCAGTTCTCTGCTCCCCAATCTCTGCTTTCAATCTTCCTCATTTAGTAGAAGAGGAAACACCTCCACCTTTGCCTAGAGAGGTTAAATGACTTATCCAAAGTCACACAGTGACAGCCAGTAGGTGGCAGCGTTCACATTTGAACCCAGACTCTCTAGCCGCTGAGTTGCGTGATCTCCCTGCTCTCTGACCACAGCAGATTTATTTCCTCCCTACTCCATGTAATAAATAAAAGCAGCTTCTGTTTCTATAGTCCTTTAAGGTTGGCCAGGTGTTATATTTATTTGTCCTTCATAAAGATCCTTTGAGGCAGGTAGCAGAGCTATTATTATCCCCATTTTACAGCTGAGGAAACTGAGGCTTGATGAGGCAAAGAACTTGCCCAAGATTGAACAGAGAGGGAGTGTTGGGGTTGGGACTCAAACTGAAGTCTTCTGATTCTATGGACCCCCCTTCTTTTTGCAGTGAGAACTCTGCAAAAAAGTGTATCTGAAGTGAGGGGAATGGGGTTGGAAATCCTGATTCTTGTCACTTACTAGCTCTGTGACTTTAATCAATCCCCATAACTTTTCTGGGCTTCAGTTTCCTCAATTGTAAGTCGAGAGGGTCAGAATAGATGACTTCTACTGCCCTTCCCAGCTCTAAAATTTATGATCCTCTGATCCCTCTGCTTCTCCAAATTCTTCCAAGGCCAGCCTCCTCCAGGAAGCCTCTGTGACCTCTTGGCTCCACCTCTGACATCCTACAGCTCTGGGTTAGAAGCTCACCCCTTCATCCTCCATCACACACTGAGTTCCTATGTTGTATGTGAGTTCCATTGTCTCCTCAGGGATAAGACATCCCTCTTCCCTGCCCCCACCACTCCAGGTCATAGCACTGGGTCTCTGAGGAGATTGGGGACATCTGGGTGGATTGACCTGATCTCTGTCTTCAGGCTGCCCTGTGGAAGTGGGAGCAGACTTACTCTGTCCTTTCTCCCTACCCCCGGGGAGCCATGACCCATGAGTGGGAGCTACGGGAAAGCATCGCTAGGCTTGCTAAGCAGAAGAGCCTCCTAAACAATTAGAGCTGTCCAAAAATGGAGTGGGCTGCTTTTGCATGTGGTAATCTCCCTCTCCCAGGACGGCCACTTGTTAGGGGCGTTGTCCAGAGCATTCCTGGACAACGCCTCTCCTCTCGGAGCAATCTGGGACTACTTGGCTCTGAGAGGCTGTCTGCCTGCAAGTGGGGGCTCCCCAAGCATGTGTCCCCTCCCCAGCTCACTCCCACCCCATGTCGGGAGATGAGGGCTCTCAAGGGCCAGGCAGCATGACAGCAACATGCCACACCTTTACCTGCTTCTTCCTCTAGCTCTGCCCCCTGGCCAGCTGACCAGTTCTAGGTTAATCATTTTCCATACAGAAACTCAGGCTATCTTGAGCAAACAGGGAATGGAGGGGTGGGACCCATGTGGACAGGCCTGGGACCCTGGCACCGAGCTCTCCACTGAGGTTGGCTGGCACCGAAGCCAAAGCAGGCGAATTGGCTCCGGGGGGAGGAATGTGGAAGGTACCTTTTCTCTATGGAGACAGTGTGGCAAGAACCAATAAAGAGCTGGTCTTGGATCCATCAAAAGACCTGGATTCAAGTTCTGACATCTATTGGCTTTGTGACCCTGGGCAAATCATTTAACTTCTCAGCACCCTAGGCAACAATCTGGGACTAAAGTTAAGAACCTGTGTTGGTATAGGGAGTCTCCCCCATTTGGGAGTTCCCTATATCCATGAAGTCACAGAGCCTGGTCCTATTCTTAGGATATTGCTCATAATTGCTAGCATTTGTGTAGCAAAGCAAATGACAAATATGATTTCATTCGAGCCTCATAACAGCCCTGGAGGGGAGGTGCTATTATTTCTCCCACTTTGCAGATGAGGAAACTGAGGCAGACAGTGGTTAAGAGACTCGCCCAAGGTCATACAGCTAGTAAATGTCTGAGGCTGGATTTGAACTCAGGTCTTCGTGAACCCAGTTCAAACTCTATACATTGTACCATCTCACTTACCTTATTACCTCTTCTTATTATTATTATTACCTCCATCCTGAGGCAGGTAAGTACATTCTCACCCCCCACCCCCATTTTTGCAGATGAGGAAACCGAAGCATGGAAAAGAAAAATGATTTGCTCAAGATTATACAGCTAATAAGTGGGGGAAGATAAGGGCTTGGGACCCAGATCTGATTGGAATAGAGAAAAGAACATTAGTCTCAGTAGTAGATCTGGGTTCAACTCATGGCTGAAACATTTATGATCTGTATGACTCTGGGCAAATCACTTGACTTCTCTGATGAGATCCCTCCAGCCTGCTTACCCAATCCACACTGGAACAACCTCCCCTCAGCCTGCTTACCCACTCCTCCACACTGGCCCCCCCTGCCCAGATTGCTTACCCATTCCTCCATACTACCTCCCACTCCCAGCCTGCTTACCCATTCCTCCACACTGCCCCTCCACCCCCAGCCTGCTTACCCACTCCTCCACACTGGCCCCCCTGCCCAGCCCTGCTTACCCACTCCTCCACACTGGCCCCCCACCCCCAGCCTGCTTACCCACTCCTCCACACTGGCCCCCCTGCCCAGCCCTGCTTACCCACTCCTCCACACTGCCCCCCCACACCCAGCCTGCTTACCCACTCCTCCACACTAGAACAACCTCCCCTCAGCCTGCTTACCTACTCCTCCACACTGGCCCCAACCCCCAGCCTGCTTACCCATGCCTCCATACTGGACCCCCCTCCCCCCCCCCCAGCCTGCTTACCCACTCCTCCACATTGGGACCCTCTGCTGTAGCCAGGGGCTTGTCCCAGAAGATATTGGGCTTCCCATACTTCCATATCTTGTGACGGGTCTTCTGGGCAAAGTAACAGATGACACAGAAGAGGACCACGGTGAGGAAGCCACAGACGATGGCCACGGCCTGGGGAAGGGGGGAGGAGGAACACAGGCTCAGAAATGGAGCCACCCTCTGGACTTCGAAGCATGCGGCTGGTCCTTGTTAGAGATGGCAGACACGCACTCTGGGGCTGGAACGGGCAAATCTCCTTCAGACTCCCCATCTCCAGGCTCCCACTTTCACTTGCTGGCACCCAGGGAGCTCTCATCATTTCCCACCTGGCTACTTTCCTGGCCTTTATCATCTCCAGAAACTCATCATTCTGTAAGATGAAATCAACTCAGAAACTCCCATCTCCTCAGATGATTTCCCACCTCAGCTGAATGCCTTCCTCAGGCACCACATCCCCCTGGGGCTGCCAGGGAACCCCTCCCGGAGTCCAGCTTATGGCTTTCTTTGTATCCTCACTGCATATCACAGTGCCTGGCACATAATAGCCATTTAATATGTGTTTATTGACTGACTCTGATTTTGACTTGGCCTAGAAGCTCTGGCTTCTCTCTGGGGCCTGAAATTTCTCACACAAAAGGCCATACTGTGTGGCTCCTGGAGAATATGTAGGGTCCCTAGCGATGAGAAGGAAGGACAGAGAGGCAGACCACATGAGCAGGTCTGTGGCTCTGGAAAGTACAAGGAGATCTTGGGAATGGGTGAATTTCATGGAGGAAGATTTTAGGAATGAGAGAATTTCAAGGAGGTCTGGTAGGAGCCCCCAGTTATGGGAAAGGGAGATGTGGGAGGGGATTTTTGTGTTGGGTCACAAGGTTCTGGAAGGTAGAGACTTCACCTTCAACATAATTACCATAGCTGTAATAATAACAACAATAATAGCCAAGACTTATATAGTGACTTAAAGTTTGCAAAGCACTTTGTGGACTTTAGCTCATTGGATACTCCCGACAGCCTTGTGAGGTAAACGTATAGCTATTTTACTCCTGTTTTACAGATGAAGAAACTGAGGCTTAGAGAGATTAAAGTGACTTGCTTCTGGTCACAGAATTCAAACCCAGTTCTCTTCTGTCTCTAAGTCTGGCATATTGGATTAGACATTGGCCGTCAAGAGAACTTGGGTTCAGATCCTGCCTCAGACACTTACTATGTGGCCTTGAGATAGAACTCTTTGTGCCTCAGTTTCCTCATCTGTAAATGACTCTGCTTCCTTCCAGCTCTAAATCTATAATCCTATGAGCGATGCTGCCATGCCCACCGCCATTACTCTTGTCATTATCACTCTTATCATCTCCATCATTGTCATGCCCATCATGACCACTACCTCTGCCATCTTCCTTCTCATCACCAGCAGCAGCAGCATCACCATCATCTTCTCCCTCCTCCTCATCTTCCTCAACATCACTGTCTCTATCACCATCCTCCTCACAGCCACCATCATCCCAACACTACCATGTCTATCATCACCATTACAGTCCCCGTCACCGTCTTATCTCTGTCACGATTACCATCACCACCACCATTCTTGCCACATCATCGGCACCATTGTTATCTATGCTGTGGTTTTCAGCTCCGATTCAGAGGTTTTCCAGCAGTCTTCTAGACCAAACCCTTTGTTTCGCAGCTGAGATTTACCTGATTTTCACAATTCAGAAGAGAGCTGTCACACTGATAGACATTTCTGTACCAGCAACAGATCACCATAATGTACTTGGATGATAGGGACAACGTTCTTATAGTGTGCTGATATCAGATTCACCCATGCACACGGAATAAGCACATAATAAGAGTGATGACTGGGCTTTGTACACCTGTCATCTAATCAAGAGATTCCTATCTCACTTGTGGGTAATTAGGATGGCTGTGGCTAATGTCTATGTTTTAGCATGTTAAGTTCAGATTGAGTGAGATAGAAAAGTCTCCCAAGAACTGTCATTAGAATGCCAACTCTATTAATATAATAATGTTATCATTAATTGTTAAAATATATTATTAATGTGGCATTGTAATAGTAATCATAATAATTACTATTATTAACATAATAATAGTAACTTAATAGTAACTCACATTTCTATGACATTTAAGGTGATATGACTTGCCCTGGGCCAGAATGAGGATTTGACCCAAATTCCAAGCCCTTTTGAGACTATATACCACAATGCCTCATCTCTCTTGACAAAGGAATCTCACAGTCACTTGCATTTGCAGCATTAAAAAGCAGGAGCGATGGGTCTCCCCATTTATAGATAGGACAATGGAGGTCTGGAGAGAGTCCGCAAATGGCTGGAAGTCGCATAGTAGAAGTTATGGGGCCATTTAACAAAGGAGGACCAACTGATGGAACTGAACAGAAGAAGGTTTTCAAGGAAGAAAGGTGGAAAAAGACCATTGTCTTCAGATAACTGACAAGCTGTCATGTGGATAAGGGATTATTGATAGATGGCCTTCACAACAGCAGCACAGGAAGGTCAAGAACGTCACTGGATGGAGCACTGGGCCTGGAATCAGGATAATCTGAGTTCAAATCCATCTTCAGACCTTTACTAGCTATGTGACTCTGGGCAAGGTACTTAGCCTCTATCTGCCTTAATTTCCTCTTTAAACAGGGAAAATAATATCACTTACCTCCCCAAGTTGTAAAGATTAAATGAGATAATATTTATAAAATGCTTAGCACAGTGCCTGGCACATAATAGTCGCTTTATAAATACTTTTTTCATCCCTTCCTTAAGTGAGTTGCCCCGGGTCACACAGCTAATAAGTGTCTGAGTGTTTCGGTCTTCCTGACTCCCAGTTCTAAGCTCTGTTCACTGCCCACTGCCCCACCGAGTTCCCTTCTAGTTGTGCTGTGGGATTCTGAGATTGTATGATCTTCTTGTGACTCTTACCTCTTGGGGGTCCACCATGCAGTAGTGGTAGAGGTACTGGTTCACAATGCCCCCTGCCACTGGTGACATCATTTGGTTGCAGAGTATCAACATCTGGTTGTAGTAGAGACTCCCAGAGCTGGACCCCAGCCCTGCCCGGGGGTTCACCCCGACCACGTAGACAATGGAGGCGATGAGCATCACAAACGCCAGCAGGCCGCTGAGCACGGTGACCAGCAGGTAGAAGCGGCGAGAACGAGCACTTGCTCCTTTGGACAGGCTAGCTATGACCAGCCCGAGGGTCACCAGGAAGCAGAGCACGGCCATGGCGATCATAAAACCGTTGGCCGCCCGTAGGTTGGTCAGGCCACCATAATAGCCACCATAGCCACCATAGCCACCATAGTAGCCATTGTAGTAGCTTCCCAGGCCACCCCCATAGCCCAGGAGGCCACTGCCACTGCCATAGTAGTCCCAGGCTAAGGTGGAGGCCACACAGGCAAAAATAATCAAACACAGGATGATCACAAATCCCTGCAGGATGCGGACGATACCTGGGGGGGACCGCCACCGGTAGAAATGCTGGGGAGGGACATCTGCCAGGTAGAAGGAGCCAGGAGGGCCCGAGGGAGGTGGGTAGTCATAGCGGGAACTGGGGTGGCCATAGCCCGTGTAAGACCTTTTCTCGTACATCGTGGGCAGGGGGTTACCTGGAACATAGCATACAGATCCCATTATCCCCTTTATATTCCAACATCACTCCCAGCTCTGACATTCCCTGTTCCAAGATCCCTTTCAGTTCTGACATGATATGTTCTGAGGTCTCTTCCAGCTCTGATATTCCATATTCTAAGAGCCCCTCCATCTCTGACATTCCATGTTTTACTCTGTGTCCCGGCTCTGACATTTCTGTTCTCAGAATCTCTTCAACTCTTATATTCTGTCTTCTATGGTTTTTTCTCAGCTCTAACAGTCTATGTTTTATGTTCTAAGGTCCCTCCCAGTTCTGACATTCTTAGATCCCTCCCAGTGCCGACACTCTATATACAGTGATTTTATGACCTGACACCTGTTAGGAGACCGGCTCCAGCACCTTCTCAATCTCCATCCCTCTAAGCAAGGAGAAAGAGAAATAAGGCTAACAGAGAAAATCTGGAAATCATGGGCTCTTGGGAGTTTCTGAGGGGCCTGAATTCAAGTTTCTTAGACACTGAAAAACTCTGTGTCTCAACCCTTCTCTGATGGGTGGCTGGGGAGAGGAGACTGCCACTCAGAGACACCCTTGCTCCTAGCTTCCCTTTACCCCATAGGCCACCTCCCTCCCTTCTATGGTCTCTGTGCCTCTCCTGCCCCATTCACCTCAAACCAGGACATTTGCCTGGTCCCCAAGCCGCTTTCTGCCTTTCCCCTGCTAGCACAGACTCCTGCCTAGGTTCAACCAACTCTAGGTCCTTGCTAATCCCTGGATATTGCTCTGAGGTCTCCTGTGGGGACAGAACCGTTTACCTGAGCTCGGTGCCCGCCTGCCCAGGCTCTGCCTGGCTGCCTCCTCTCTCCAGGGATCCGCTTCCAGGCTCCCAGAGCCAGCTCTGCTAGTTGTCCTAACGTGGCGTGTCCCTGCCTTCCCCTTCACTGGCCGCCTATGGGAAAGGTGAACGATGGGGCTCTTGGAGTAGGGAGGGGATGCCGAAACCTAAGGGGTGGGGTCCCCTGGCTCCCCTGGGCAGCCTTGGCCTGCCCTCCCTCTTTGTCCCTGGAAAAATGGCTGCAGGGATTAATCATTAGTAGATACACAAAGGCTCAGGAAAGGAGAAAAACCACAGGCTTGGCCCACGCTGGCCAAGGCTGTGCTGGGCGGGAGCATGGGCTGGCTGGGAGAGGCAGGCGGGCAGCTCTTGGTGGGGACACACAGGTTCCTCTTTGGGACTTGGCCAGCCTGGGCAGCTTAACCCCTTCTCTTCCAGACGATCTCTGGGAAGAGACAGCAACTTGGTCAGAGAGCTGGCCGGGGTCAGAAGAGGGCCAGTCCCCTGCTCAGGCAGCTCCCTCTTTTTCCTTTCCCTGCGCAAAGGTTGCAGCAAAAGGGCCTGTGTTGAGAAGACAGGCAGAACTTAGAGGTCCCTCATTCTGGCATGGGAGAGGGGTGGAGGGATGGCTGGAGCCCCTTCCAGCTCCGAGGGGTTCTGACCGGGATGTGATCCCAAGTGTGAGCTTCCTTAAGACTTCCTGGCTTAGGGAACAGGAAACATCCTCACCAAATAGTGTTTTGTGGGCTAAAACCTTCCTCCTCCAGGAAGGCTTTACCATTACCCTCCCCATCCCCGACCCTCAACTCTCTTCCCCTGTTACCCCAAGTATTCTCAGCACAAAGGGACACAGCACAAATTGATTTCCTCTGGTTTAGTCCAGGGCTCTAGGGCAGGCTCCTCCTCAAGCCAGGATGAGGACAGGGACTGTGTTTCCTTCAAACTAGGGACTCCCTGAAAAAAAGGGCAATGACTGCCCCGCCCTTACTTAGTGTTCACTCTTTTTTATTATATATTTTGTTTTTTTAAAGAATGTTTTTATTTTACCTTTTTCTCAATTATGTGTAAAAACAACTTTTGACATTTGTTTTTCATAAATTTTGAGTTTCCAATTTCCCTCTGTCTCCCCTCTCCCCTCGTTGAGAAGGCAAACACTTTGATATAGATTATACATGTTTAATCATTCAAAACATATTTCCATATTAGCCAAGTTGCAGAACACAGACCAAAAAGAAAAAAAAAACACAGGAAAAATAAAGTTTAAAAAAATGTATATGCTTTCATCTGCATTCAGACTCCATCAGTTGTTTCTCTGGAGGTGGATAGCATTTTCCATCCCAAGTCCTTCAGAATTGCCTTGGATTGTTATATTGCTGAGAATAGCTAAGTCATTCACAGCTGATCATCATACAATGTTGCTGTTACTATGTACAATGTTCTCTTGGTTCTGCTTACTTTACTTTGTATCAGTTCATATAAGTCTTCCCAAATTTTGCTGAAACTATCCAGCTTGTCATTTTTTATAGCACAATAGTAATCCATAATAATCATATACCACAACTTATTCAGCCATTCCTCAACTGATGGGCATCCCCTTAGTTTCAAATTCTTTGCCACCACAAAAAGAGCTGCTATAAATATTTTTGCACATCTGGAACCTTTTCCTTTTTCTTTGATGTCTTTGGGATATAGACCTGGTAGTGGTATTGCTGTGTCAAAGGTTAGGCACAATTTTATAGTCCTTTGGGCATAATTCCAAATTTGAGCTCTTCCTCTTACTGTGAAGGACCGTATTGTCCCCTCAAACCAGGGCTCTCTAAGGGCAACAGTCATATTTTTCCCCCAGATCCTGAGTACGGAGACAATGTCTCAAACTGGGAGCTGCCACTCCTGAGAAGATGCCCTTTGTCTGCTTCTCAAATTACAGACTGCCCACTCAGGGGCTCCCTGAAGGGAGGGACTAGGTCACCTCTCTCAATGGGGACTCCCCATGGTCAGGGCCACATATATTAAGGCCTGGATGGCTTCCCTTTCAGGGATATTTTATGCAAAGATATTCTTTTCCCACCCCCATTGACAATTTTCCTTATTTCCTAGCTCCATGAATTTTATTAATATAAAAACTGTTAAAATTTTATGCCATTGAAATTATCCATCTTCTCTTTTATGATCACTTCTACCCCTTGTTTGATTTAGAACTCTCCACCTATTTATGAAAAGTATTCATTCTCTGTTCATCTTGTTCTGATGTGGCCTATTATATGTGAAGTCATCTATCCATTTGGACCTTACTATGTCACCCATATAGTGTAAAAGGCTGTTCGAAACCCATTTTCTGCCAAGCTGCTTTCCAATTTTTCCAGATGTTCATGCTGAATAGAGAGTTCTTCCTCTAAGAGTTTTCATTCTTGAGTTTACTGAAGACCAGATGACCTCATGTAGGAAACCCAAAGAGGTTATTTACCCAGATTAAGGCCAGTCTTCCTAGCAAAGACCGGCTTCTTCCTGGGGTGTAGGAGTGGAGAAGGGATATGGAAAGAGTTCAGAGTCTCAGCTGAGATGACTCTGCACCTATTGGCCATCTTTTCTGCTTTCACTCCAAAATGACTTTCCACTTTTTCTGTCCTCACTCTCAAGCCCTTTGTGAGCATGATATTTTCTCTCCAATGCATCCTCTCAGGAGATGGCAAGAATTTAAATCAGAACTTAGAACCTCGAAGTCATCTGGGGCAGCTTAGGAAAGGTAGGGTCAGCTCTTCTTAGGTCGAAGCTTTGACTCAGCGTGAGGTATGATACTGGTTCATGTCCAGCACAGAGTGGGAAATGGGGGAAGGAGCTATGTAAAGTGAAGAAAGGGGAGGAAGGGCAAGGTGCCAAGCACCCAGGGATGGATTCTCCATTGGTTGCCTTCTCTAGTCTAGGAAATTTCCAAAACGTTGAACCTACCTACAATCTGGAATATATATAAAAATACATTTTAGCAGGAAAAATTCAAATTTCTCTACTAAATTGAAGAATTAGGTTTTAGTTTCTCTAACCTCTCCCTCTGCCCACCCTGCCCCTTCCCTTTTTTCTCAGTTTGATGGGGGACTAGAGAAGTCAGGCAACTCTCCCAAGGTCACACAGTATTGATGGCATCCCCCACTCACTTCCACCTACACCAAACGATCTCCAAGCTGCTGCTTCCCTCCTCAATCCTGGAATAACTTCTTTTCCCTGCCCTCTCCTCTTGTTCCCTCCCCAAGGCTCAATTATATTCGATCTCCTTTAGGGAGTTTTAAAATTGTTTTCTTTTTTTTCATTATTACTCCAGGAACCTTTCCATGACAACCATGACTCACACTGACCTCTCCACTCACTTGATGTATAGCATTTACCAGCTGAATATTTGGTTCTTTAGAGTGATGGGAACATAGCAGACAGAATGTCAGAGCTGGAAGATACTTTAGTAGTTATTATACCTAATTACTCAAGTAGACCTATGATCTCATCCATCACTTTGGGTGTTGCCTCCAGTGATGCAGACCGCCACCTGCTTACGTCTGCCCATCTCATGGGGGACTCTTGTCCAAATCTTACCCTAAGTTTGTTCCAAGGGGTCCAGTCAATTTGCTGGCTTTCTGCCTATCATTCCTTGCCCTCATTATGTGACCAGGCTATCTTCTTTTTTTTTTTTTATCATACACTTCCTTGAATGACAATCTTTATTTTTGTTCTTTAAAGTTCCTCATTGGTTAGACATTGCAGCCTGCTTATTTGACACCACGTTCCTCTCCATGGCTCTCTATATAACTAATATTCATTTTCAGTTCTTTAGAGAACATGTTTCATGTCTCACAGTCATATAGCTAAGTAGAAAACTGGCATTAAAAAGATAGGTCTTTGTTTCCTGGAGAAGTTTGGGTCATTACAAGAGCTTCACAATTTCCTGAAGAGAGTCCAGTCCATCCTCCTGCTTTGTTTAATTCTGGGCCTAACTTGTCTGTCTGTCTGTATATATGTATGTATATACATACGTATACTCTATATGTATACACATATATCTATATGTACATATCCATGTGTATGCATGCATCCCATATTACACATGTACACACATAGCTATATGTATATATACATATCTATATGTATTCCAAGTAAGCATTGTATATACATGTATATACGTACACATACACACATGTACACATATATACATGTACACATGTACACATATACATATACACATGCACGCATGCACACACACATATATACACACATGTACATATATACATATACATATCATGTATACTGATATATAAGCTGTGATCCATCCAACTGTGTGTCATCATCTTGGCAATAGATATTACTTTGTTTTTCTTGTGTTGATGGCTAGGTCAAATTTTTTTCAGTGATTACGAACCTCTTTCAGGAGGCTCTGCAACGTTGCAGGTCTTGATGTAACCAGAATGATGTCATCTTCCAACTCCTCTTAATTTTAATACCTTCTCTCTGTTAATTATTTCCTATTTATACTGTATATAGCTTCTTTGTACATATTTGCTTGCTTGTTGCCTCCCCTGTTAGATTTGAGCTCCTTGAGGGAAGGGACTGTTTTTTTGCCTCTTTTTGTGTCCTAAGTATTTAGTACAATGGCTTGCACATTATTATTGTTCAGTCATTTAGTCATGTCTGATTCCTCATGACCTCTTGGGGTTTTCTTGGCAAAGACACTGGAGTAGTCTGCCATTTCCTTTCCCATCTCATTTTACAGATGAGGAAACGGAGACAAACAGTTAAGTGACTTTTGCAGGGTCACACAGCTTGTAAGTGTCTGAGACCAGATTTGAATTCAAGTCTTCCTGACTTCAGACTTGTCACTCTACCCACTATGCCACCTAGCTGCCTCACACAGTAGGTGCTTAATAAATGGGTTTTTTTTTGGACTCACTTTAAATAGGAGCCTCTGGAAGATCTTACCTTGGGAAATCCCTCTTCAGTTGAATCCTGCACTGTTCCATCACAGTGACACCTTTAGCAATTACTTCTCCCTGTTTTATGCCTCATCTGATATTTATGATCAGAGGATCACTAAGCAAGGTAATCTCTGTTATATCTTTCAAGGAATATTTAATAATTTTGATGTCTGGAAGGAAAGCATCTGGAAAAGGAACCTTTAAGGTGGTGTTTAGCTCCATCAAATCAAATCCTATAAAAATATAATCAATAAATATTAAGTTTAATGGGTATCCTATATTTCGTACATATTCTAAGCAATTGTGTGATGGTGAAAATATAGCTTGCTGTGGAATAGTGATTGCAGAAGGCTCTTGGTTGAGGATGCCCTTGATACATGTGGAGATGATTCTCATAAAATTTTTGTTAGATAAACTACTGTTAGGTCAGCAGTTGTTCTTTTTGGATTAATAAGGCTTTGAAACTCCATTCATGCCTTTTATATCTTCTCCTTTAGTCTTCTTGTGAATTGATCTCTCAAAGCATTCACAGCTGTGTCTCCAGCCTGGATCTCCTCTATTTATGCGTCTTCTAGCCCAATTGCTTTTTTTTGCCTGAATTCTATATTTAATGCCATTTCTACGTCCTCTATGAACATATCCAGGACCACGATGTTTGAGTCCAAGTTGGGTGGGGCTATTAACCTTGACAGTGAAAACAGTTTGTCATGAAAATCTTTGCAGATCTTTTCCATTTTTCTTCTGTTTGTTGTCTTACATTCATTTTCTTCATTAAATGCTCTTGGGATGACTTTACTTAATTTGCTCTCTCATCAGTCTTTCTGGTTTTATACTCCACTGATGGATAGTATGCTGGGCCTGGAGTCAGGAAGACCTGAGTTCAAATCTAGCCTCAGACACTTATTAGCTGTGTGACTGTGGGCAAGTCACTTAACCCCATTTGCCTCAATTTCCTCATCTGTAAAACGGGCTGGAAAAGGCAAACCACTGCAGTAAGAAAACCCCAAAAAGAGTCACGAAGAATTAGACACGACTTAAAACAGCTAAATGCTGAACAGCAACAAAACTTCCTTCTGCTTTATGAGGTGCTGTTGCTTCCTGTGTTTGCATTTTATGCATTCTAAAACATTGTTCAGAAGATGCCTGGGATTCCTATTCTGGGGAGGCTGACTTTGGTGGATTGCTAGAGTTTAGGAGTTCTGACCTGCATTGGGTTAAGGCAATCAGGTGTTCACACTATGTTTGGAAACAATATGGATTTTGTGGCAGTAATAAGAATAGTAGCAGGGGCAGCTAGGTGGCACAGTGGATAAAGTGCCAGCCCTGAAGTCAGGAGTACCTGAGTTCAAATCCGGCCTCAGACACATAACACACACATAACACTTACTAGCTGTGTGACCCTGGGCAAGTCACTTAACCTCAATTGCCTCACTAAAAAAAAAAAAGAATAGTAGTAGTAATGATAACGATAATTATAATAATAATAGACATTTATTTATAAAGAGCTTTAAGACTTGAAAAGTATTTTGCAGACATGAACTCATTTGAGCCTCACAGTAGCCCAGTGAGGTAGGTAATACACGTATTATTATGATTATCACCATTTTATGGATAAAGAAACTGAGGCTTATGACCTCCTCAACATGTCCTCAGTCAAACAACTGGGAAGAATCAGAGAAGCAATTTGGACCCAAGTCGTCCTGATTTCTGGTCCAGAACTCTATCAATTGTGCCTTCCTTGGAATACGGAATTCAAAGTGTTGGAGCTGGGAGGGCCCTTAGAACATGGAATGTCAGAGCTAAGAAGATCCTCTGAACAGAAAACATCAGGGCTAGGAGGACCTTTAGAAACACAGAATGTCATAACTGAACGGAGGGATCCTTAAAACACAGAATGTCAGAGCTGGGAGGAACCTTAGAACACAGAATTTCAAAGCTAGGAGAGACATTAGAACACGGAATATTAGAACTAGGAAAACCTTAGAACAGAGAATGAATCTCAGAGATAGGAGGACCACAGACCATAGTTTGGAGACTAGAGAGGGGGCCCTTAGAATAAAGAAGCTCAGAGCTGGGTCTGGGACCTCAGTGACCCCATAGCCCATATCTCCTCATACTCTGTTTTGATCAGGAATGAAACAGAAGGAGAGAAGGAAGAAATGAAGGAGAAAAGATTTGCCCAGGGTTAGGCTAAGTCAATGGCCCCACAGGGCCCTGAAGCCAGGTCTTCTGACTTTCAGCCCAGCTGTGCCCTTGTACAGAGGTCCCTGCTTGCTGCCTCTTCTCAGAAGTGTTTTCTTCTCTGTAGGTACTCACACCCCCAGCCCATAGGTGCACCCCACCATGGGCAGACCACTTAGTGACATTCATTCCTCAAATACTGATATCCCCCTGGGATGGGAGTGGGGGCTGACATCAGCCTGGATCTCAGGGGCAGCAGCTATTCCCAGACCTAGCTAAGGCAGCCCCCTTCTTCATCAGCGAGGAGGGGATTGTGGAGAGTCCCTGGCATCTCAAAGCAGCATCCCGTCCCATCTACGGGAGCTGTCTCTGCCCGAGTGTGGGCAATGTCTGGTTCAGAAATAAACGGAGCCATCCTTAGAATCCTTTTCATCATATTTCTGGATCTGTGCTTTGAGGTGCCTCAATTTTCTCTTCAGGTAGTCACAGCGGGCCTGCTTTTCCAGGAAAACTGGGTCCTGCCATAGAGGAGAGAGAAGAAAACCTCATGGCCAGTGCTCAGCCTGGTCAAATGTTGATGGAGGGAAAAGTGCTTCATTCAGCCTAGCCTTGATCCTTACCGTTACAATACTGGCTTGATTTATTTCTATTTTTTAAAAATGTATATTTATATGTGCCTTCTCCCCTCCTCTTCTTCCTTCTTCCAATTCACCAAACTCTTCTCTTAACTCCTTGATTAAAACAGTTCCTCTGACCTTATCTCTTCCAGGAAGCCTGCCTAGATTGACCCATCAGAACAGTTATCTTACCACCCAATAACTGGGGCTCTTTTTTGCACAGAGCAGGACCCAGTAGTTATACAGTTAGGTCACAAAATAAAATGGATCCTATGTGCTCATTGTTCAGGGTTTTCAAGGTTGGCCCCAGAATTGGAGGTGGGGAGGTTTCAGCTCTGTCTCCAGCCTTCTCCCCCTCGTAGGTTGAGCCTTATCCTTCCTTCCTTTATTGGAGTGTCCAGAGACTCCCCAGGGCATCAGCTACCACTAAGACTTAGTTCTTGTGTTTCTGGTACAGCAGGAGTGAGACTCTTGCCTGAGAAAATATCACATTCTCTCTCAAATCACTTTCTTTCCCCTAGCCTGACTTAGTTTTAACATCTGTAAAATGGGAGTATATGTAGCTCTATTTGATTTCCCTGGTCCCTCCCAGCTCTGTGGTCTCTGGTGAGGACCTTAGGATGGTTCCTAGGCAAGGGGAGAGAAGATGACTTCTGGTGAGGCCTTTGGGAAGGAATGTTAGGGGGAGGGCTAGACTCAGAGGAGAGGGTTCTATAGAGTTGATCAAGGTTTCACGAATCCCACACTCACCTTCTTCTTCCTCTCCAATTCCCTCCGGACCCAGGTAAACGGGCTTCTTCCTGGTGTGGGGGAGAAGGAAGTTGGAAAGCCGAGTCTGAGCCCTGTTCCTCTGCTTTTCACTCACAATTCATCAAATATTTTCTGCTTAAAGCAGCACTTTCTACCCTATTGCCTCCAGGAAGCCTGCCAGAGTTGATAGGAGGACCAGAAGGGCCATCTGGTGATGGGCAGTGCCTTTCTCTGGGACAGAGCAGGACCTCCCAGGCTGCCTGGAGAGCACAGGCTGGAGCTCAGCTGCTCATCAGTCAGTCAAGAAGCATTTATTTAGAACTTACTATGTGCCAGGCTCTGTGTTACGCTCTAAGGATACAAAGAAAGGCAAAAGCCGGTGCCTCCCCTCAAGGAGCTGAGAGTCTAATGGGGGAGACAATATGCAAACAACTTCGTACAGACAAGATACATCCAATGTAAATGGGAGGTGGATTTCAGAGGCAAGACACTAGCACAAGAAAGTGGTCTTTTAGCTGAGCCTTGAAGGAGGCCAGGGAAGCCAGCAATAAGAGGTGAGGAGGGAGAGCATGGGGCACAGCCAGGGCAAAGGCACTGAGGCTGGAGATAGAAAGTAGTCTCAAGGGGCAGCTAGGTGGCGCAGTGGATAGAGCACCGGCCCTGATGTCAGGAGGACCCGAGTTCAAATCTGGTCTCAGACCAAACACTTGACACGTACTAGCTGTGTGAGCCTGGGCAAGTCACTTAGCCCCAATTGCCTGAAAAAAAAAGTAGCCTGAGGTAGTTTTCTCTTGCTGCACTGGGGGGGCAGTAGAGGCGAGGAGAGGGAATGGCTGCTGTGACTGCGGAAGCACATGTGGTTCTGGGTCACGTCTGCCCCCAGCTCCCTCCTCCCATCCAGGGTAGGCTGAGAGGATGGCCCCCTGCTGACCTCCCCTTTCCCGCCCTTCCTCCCTGGCTACATGAAAGCCTCAGCATCCCAGCCTTGAGTCAGGGCTCCCACAGTGCCAGGACCCCCACCGAGGTGCTGGCCTGAATGGCCTTTATCATAGGCTGGGGATCCCAAAAAGCCAAGCTCTGCCCCCAGAACCAGGAGTCCCCAGGACCCCCTCAGGCATGAGCCCCAAGTCCTGGGCTGCTAGATTTCTCTGCACCACTTCTCTACCCACGCTGCTGAATTCTCCTCCTCCTCCTCTGTTCTGGGTCATGCCTCTTCTGGGAAGGAAATAGGATTTGGGAATGTTTGTTGTTTTGCTCTCCCACCTGCTCCCCTGCCCTCCTCGGTCCACACATTCCCCCTCCCACCACAACAGGAAGGCCCAACCCTATTCCCTCCTCACAAGCCTCTCAGACAGGATTCCTGGCCAGGCCAGACCCTGACCTTGACCTCTCCGTGGCCACAGAGGCTCCCCTTAAGAACACAAGCAGACCCAAGTTCTCTAGGTGTGCCCACCCCCCACCCATATCTCCCAAGCCCTATCTTTCCTCTCTGCTCATTGCTGGCCCCAAGCCCATCTCCTACAGGTAGCCTTCCATGATTAGCCCCAACTGGACCTCATGGCTATGTCTTGTCTGAGCCACCCCTCTCCCCCAGATCAGGGGCTCTAGGTAGCAGCTGTGTCTCTCTTGAGTTCTCCATTGGAGGGATCATGTCCCTGTCTTTTGTCTCCCACCTGCAGGGTGGGGTCATGGCAAGTCAAGTGGGGTTAATCTGAGAGAGCTCCTTGGAGGTGGCAGATTTGGAGCCAGGAATGGTTAGAGAGGAGGGCGGAGCATGCCTGGTCATCTGGGGCCCAGGGAGGGAGCCCTGGGTCTTTGGGAGTAAAGAGAGAGTTAGAGGGGGGTAGAAAGGGTGGGCACTGACCCTGGGGCCCAGCTGGGGCAACGTAGCCAGCATGGCCTCCAGTTCCTGGAATTTGGCCGTGGCTGTGGCCACGTTCTGGTGGAGCTCCTGGTACTCGGCATGCTGGTCTTGAAAGACGGCCTTGTAGCGGCGCCTCTCAGCCTCACTGTAGATCGCTGGGTATCTCCTGCCAGGGGAGGAAGCCACCAGGGGCTCAGCCTGGGGTCAAAATGGGTCTGTGCTGAGCCCAGAACAGCTGGAACTTGTAAGAGTGGCAGTGACTCATCCGAGGTTATACAGTCAGCCCTAGAGCCAGCCAGGACTCAAACCCGGGCCCCTGGGCTCTTTCCCCTTCATATATACACAGACACACAGAAATACTGGTCCTTATGCAGAAAGACACAAAATCCCACAAGTTGGTATGTCCTCAGCCTAGGGGTTTGGGGAGAAGATTGAAGTAGGGCTGAGACATCTGGGGTTGGGGCCTGGAGAGGGATTTCTCCTTAGGGGAAGTCTCACCCATCCGTCTTCCAAAATGAAGTTGTTCCCAGATAGAGAACCCCAAGGACCTCAAAAGACCTCTTTCTATTCCCCATCCAGCCACATTAAAACCCTTCGCTTAGGGACTGCCCAATCATCCTAAGGCTTCCCAAAAGACCCTTCTCCAGGGACCCTCCTGTCATTGTCCTCATCCCCCTATGCCCCTCCGGTTACCCCAGACTTTCCAATGCTCCCCCCAAAGTCTTTGGATCTCCCCCTAGACATCCCTGGTGCCCCTTAGCCCCTCCCAATATTCCCACCCTCACCCCCAGGGACCCTTGCTTAGAAACCTCTCCCCTACCCCTCCCTCCCAGTATTTCCCCCCATTCACCCCTGGTGCCCCCCAAAGGTAGACTTACAGTACATAGTCAGGTACCAGCTGAGGCTGAGGGCTGTGCCCAGGGTGAAGGGCTGGGGCAGACCCTGTGGTGCCCTTGCCTGGCTGAGGCCTCAGCTTGGGGGTCACCTCAGGGCTCCTGACAGGAAGTTCATCTTCAAACACAATCTTCCTGGGCCTCTGCTGGTGCTGACCCCAAGCCTGGATGTTGTTGGAGCAGAAGGAGAACAAGTGAGGGGTGGAGGGCCCTGTGAGAATGGTGGGGGAACAGCTCCGCACACCAAGCCGCTGGGGCTTCTCGGGGACCCCAGAATCCCTCACTGTAGTTTCCCCAAGCTCCAGATCTGGGATTAGCCACTGCTCAGATTAGCTGCTTTTGGGGCCTCGTTCATGAGGGACTGTGGGGGGAGTAGGTGAGGTGTTGCACCCAGAAATAACAAAAATAATCAACGTTTCCATATCACTTCATTGTATTATGCCCCACATAACGTACCTCCCTCGTTCTTTTTGTGTGTTGTCTTCCCCTCATAGATGGTAAGCTCCTTGAGGGCAGAGAATATCTTTTTTCATTTCACATAGTAGGTGCTTAATAAATGTTGACTGACTATTAACTAATATTTACATCCACAAACCCTACTAACTCTATTTTTCCCTGTGCCCACAGACTCCACCCTGTTCCTTGTATCTTTAGACTCCATCTTCCCTTATTCCTAGATATTTCTCCCCTTCATATCCACAGTCCTTTCCCCAACTTTTGCCCACATATCGGATTCCCATTCTACCCACAAACTCCAGGCTTGTCCTATACTTGCCGATTCTATCCCTTTGCATGCCTATAGAAAACTACCCCTATGCCCATATAGCCCATCCCTTCTGGTGTGCCCACAAACCCAGTCCTCCCTGTACCCACAGATTTCATGCCTCTCTGTACCCACGCATTTGTCCCTCTAGGAACTCATACTTTGTCTCCTCTTGTGCCCACCTCTCATAGTCTCCCACACCCATTAGTTTTCTATACCTCTATACCCTATGTGCTCCCATGACCCAGAAACCATCCTCTTGTATCCATAGACCCCATCTCCCTTATACTCACATTCACTGCTCCTCTACTGGGCCCATACAACATATCCCCTCATGCCCACACAGTGCCCTGTGCCCATAGATCCTTCCCCCTTTGTGTGTTCTCAGACAAGTCTATCATGCCAACATAATGGACTCTCCCTGTAATCACTACACACTCTGGACACCCCAATGCCTACACCTCCTGTTGGTTGGACTGGTACCTATTATACCCATCTAACCCATTCCCTCCTATGCCAGGAGGCCCTGTCCCCCCCATGTTTAGAGACTACATCCTCCTACTGTCCCTTTCCCATGCTCACATACTACATTCTTCTCTGAGGATGAAGATCCCATTCATTCATTCATTCAATAATTCATTCAACAAATATTTTTTTTTGCTTTTTTTTAGGCAATTGGGGTTAAGTGACTCGCCCAGGGTCACACAGCTAGTAAGTGTCAAGTGTTTGGTCTGACACCGGATTTGAAACTCAGGTCCTCCTGACTTCAGGGCCGGTGCTCCATCCACTGCACCACCTAGCTGCCCCAACAAATATTTCTTAAATAGCTACTCTGTACCAAAGCCCTGGTCTTTGTGCTAGGTTAGATGTGACACAGTCCCTGCTCTCCTGACACTTACATTCTCCTGGGGGAAATACAGCATGTACACAGATGAATCTGCTATGAAGTACAAAGAGCCAAATACAAAGGATGGAAGTGAAGGAGAGAGCCAAGTATTCTAGGAAAATTGGAGGAAGGGGATCCAGCGAAGGCTGCATGGAGGAGCTGGCATCCAAGCCCAGCCCTGAAAGAAGAGAAGAGCTTAGGGAGGCAGAGAAGAAGGTGTTTATTCCAGGCACGGGGTGAGGTGGCAGGGGGATTTCAGGAAACAGTGAGTGGTCTCATATGGCTGTGACATCCTGTTTATGATAGAGGTAATGAGAAATAAGTCTGGACAGGTAGTCTAGAGACAGTATGGAGGGTCTTAAATATTAGGCTGAGCTGTTGATATTTTTATCCTACAGGTAGTAGGGAGCCACTGAAGATTTGAAGGGAAGGAAATGAGACAGTGAAACCTGTACCTGAGGAATATTATTTTGGCGTCTATGTGGAGAAAGAATTGTGGAGAAGAGAAACTGCAGGCAGGGAGGCCAATTAGGAGATAATTATAGCAGTACAGATGAGAGGTGATGAAGGGGTGGTGGTTGTGGGATTGTAAAGAAGGGAATGGATTCTCGAGCCTTTGTGGAGATAGAATTGAGAGTTCCTAGCAACTGATTGGATACTGGGGGCAAGGGAGGTGAGAAGAGATCATAGGGTTACAGATTCATAGCTGCAAGGGACCTCCAACTCCCTCATTTTACAGATGAGGGAAATGAGTCCAGGGAAGTTGTAACTTGCCCGAGGTCACATAGGTAGTAAGGATCAAAAGTCAGATTTGAGCCTGGGTCATCTGACTCCAGAACCAGTGATGACATGAGGTAAGCTTGGGTAACTGGAAGGCTACAGAAGAGGTGAATTTGGGTGAAAGGTTTCTGTTGCTGTTCAGTCATTTTTCAGTTGTGTCCAACTCTTTGTGATCCCATTTGGGGTTTTCCTGGCAAAGATACTAGAGTGGTTTGCCATTTCCTTCTTCTGCTTGTTTTACAGATGAGGAAACTGAGGTAAACAGGGTGAAGTGACTTGCCCAGGGTCATATAGCTAGTAAGTTTCTGAGATCAGATGTGAATTTCTGAAATATGATTCTTCCTGACTCTGGGTTCTTTCTACTGCTCCACCCAGCTGCCCTGGGTGAAAGGGTGGGGGTAGGGGGAGTCATAATGAGTTCAGTTTTGAATATGTTAAGTTGGAGGGGCTTGTGAGGCATGTAGCAGGCAGCTGGTGCTCAGTGTGGACATTACAGTTGGATACATAGATCTGGGAGTCATCTCCACAGAAATGATCATTGAACACATCACAAAGGGAGACAGTGTAGAGAGAGGAGAGAAATGGGTCCAGAACAGAAGCTTGTTGCACCCTTAAGGAATAGGAGGTGGACACTGATTCAACAAAGGAAACTGAGAAGGATCATCCAGAAATGTAGAGTATATAAGAGAAGGCAGTGTCATGAAAATCCAGAGAGGAGAGAGTGTCCAGGAGGGAAGGTATGGAGGCCAATGCAAACACTATAGAGAAGCTAAGGAGGATGAGATGGAGAAAAGGCTGCTGGGTTTAAGGAGGCATGGAGTGGAGATGATTCTTTCTAAGGGCTTGTCTTGGAAAAGGAAGGCTAGCTTGAGGGGATGGTTGGGCCAAGTGAAGTTTTAAAGGACGGAGGAACCCTAGGCATTTTTATAGACAACAGGGAAAGTGCCTACAGATAGAGAGAAATTGAAGGTGAGAGAGAAGGAACTATTTAAAGGAGGAAGCTCCCTGAAGGAAAGAGACAAGAGGTGAGCAGACTAGTACTCATCTGTCCCTGTGCCCTCCCCATATCCACATAGCCTGTTCCTTATATTCCCAAGCAACTCTTCCATGTCCAGAGGTTCCATTGGCCTACATGTCCTCCACAGATGCCATATCATTGTACCTACACAACCAATCCCTCCATATAATTCTTCCTCCCCATGCCCAGACTCCTTCCATCCAAGTCTACATCTACCATTCCTTTGATGTCCACAGACTCTCATCCTTTCCTGTGCCCACTCTCCCCATCCTCTGTACCTAAAGACTTTGTCCCCCTCTTGTGCCTACATACCATTTCTGTGCCCAGAGACACATCTTTTGCCGTGCCTATATAACCTGTCCCCCTTGATTCCCAGACTCCATGCCTATATGTACTCTCTACCTGTGCTCAAAAAGAAACACATCTTCCATGCCCATAAACCTCATTATTTCCTCAGTGCCCAGAGACCCCAATCCCTTCTTTGTCCATAGCCTGCATTGCCCCACCCGACCAACCCCAAATCCCCCTATACCCATATACCTCATTTCTCCTTGGTCCTGAGAGCTCCTTCCCTTTCTTTATATATCCCATCGCCCCACACCTACAGAGCCACTCTGGCCCCTTCCCACACCCTCAGTTCCTTCCTACATCTACAGCCCTATTTCCCCCTCATGCCTATAAAGTTTATCTATTCTATTTATCCCCCCATGACTCATCCTGCCCCATAACCACCTGCCCTCCATGCCCACATCTACTTCGCTAATGCCCACAGACCCCCATCTCACCCCTGTGCCCATATACCCTGGCTCTTCCTCTACTTGGAAATCTCACCTTCCTCTGTTCTCCCTTAACTTATTCCCATTTATTCCTTGTTCTTGTCCGTGGGGCTCCCACTCTGGGGACCAGGGACTTACCCCAGGGTTCTTGGGCCTGGCAGGCAAGCAGTAAGTGACGGGTGGGCAGCTGGAGCCTTTTGGGACCCCTTTCTTGCTTTGCTGGAGAAACTTCTTCCCAGCATGTGGGATAAAGTGGTGGCCAGGAGTGATGGTCTGGATTGGCCTTTGGAGACTACTGGGGACTCTGGGTGAGTAGCCCAGTCCTCGTGGTCCTTGACCTGAGTTCTGGATGCCTTTGCTTGATTGGGCAGGTGGGGGTCCCCTCAACGTCTCTGCCATAGAGTATTTGACTCTGGGGACACCCCTCCTGGCCCCTGGGGGCTTGCCTTCATCCCTCAGTGGAGCTAGGCCATGGTAGGCTGGACCTGCAACCTGGGACACAGACCGATGGGGACGGGAGCAGACACCACGTGGGTGGCTCTGCCCCTCCCAGCATTGCTGAATCCGTGGCTCAGGAGGCCTGGCAGCAGCTTTGTGTATATTTGCATATCTGACTCTCGTTTTCATAACCCACTGCTAGCTAGGAATCAGAGGCTCTCTGGACCCTGAGCTGGGGCCTTTCCGGTTAACTGAAACAACCCCCTGTTCGCACAGAAGAGAAACCCCCTCTAGTGCCAGGGAGCCTCTACAGAACAGGTAGGGATTTGGGGGGAGGAAGAGCAGTCATTACCCATGCCCCCTCCCCCCAGCACAGACTGCCCTCCTTCCACTGGGCCTGCAGGGCCTAGGCAGGAAGTCCAAGAGTCCGCCTGCTCCAGGGCTTCCTCCTGATGGCTGCTTGCAAGCAGCCCCTGCCGAGGCTCGGTCCTGGAGGCACCCCCTGCCTAGCGGCTTCCTTCCCCCCTCCTTTTACTCCCTCCCCTTCCTCCTCCTCCTCCCCACCCCCAGCCTAGTGCCAGGAGGAAGGAACTCCCTAGCCTGGGTCTTGGACAGCTGAAGGCCTTAGGGGAGCCCTGGGGGCTCTGCTCCTCCTCCAGTCCCTAGAGTGCAAGGCAGGCAGGCAGTCCCGCCAGCATAGGCTCCTGCCCCTTTCTCCACTTTAGGAGGGGCTCCGGCTGTTACCTGTCTGTCCCATGGTGGAGGCCCTGAGCTTGGCTGGGCTGCACAGTCCTAGGAGTCCTGGCCTGCTCTGTACTTCTCTCCTGGACAAGAGCTGGGGCTGGGTTATACATTAACCGGTCTGGGTAGGCTCATTACCCACCCCCACCCCACCCCAGCCTTCTGCAGCTGTGGAGGACCCAGGCAATCAGGGAAAAGAGAGGCGGGCGGAGGGAGGAAGGGCGGCAGGCAAGCTCTCCTGGGAGTCCAGCCTCAGCCAAAGTCTCCAGGGATCACAGGGAAAGTCAGGAGCCAGGAAGTGGGCCAGGGCTCACACACGAAGGGCAGGTCCTCTCATGGCAGGGATACAGGGACACACAGGGACACACCGACAGAGGGCACAGGATGTGTGGGCACAGGGACACAGGGAAATGGGGAGACAGCAATAAAAGGACATAGGGGTATGGGAATGCACGGGCACAAGGGCATGGGGGGGCAGCCATATGGGGGCAGGTCACACAAACCCAGGGATCCTTAGATATACGGGGACAAAAGCGCAGGCAGGACATGTGGACAGTGTACATGGGACAGAAGGACGCATGAATATAGAGACATAGGGACACAGGATTAGGCCACACATACAGAGCCAGCAGGAGTGGCTTTGGAAATACAGATGTTTTCCCATCCTGGAACATAAGTAATCACTTAATGTCCTTCCTTCCTCCCTCCCTCTCTCCCTTCTTTCCTACTTTCTCCCTATTTCCTTGTCTCTCTTCTTCTCTTTCTGTTCTTTCTTTTTTCTCCCTCCCTCCCTCCCTCCCTCCCTTCCTTCCTTCCTTCCTTCCTTCCTTCCTTCCTTCCTTCCTTCCTTCCTTCCTCCCTCCCTCTCCTCCCTCCTCCCTCCTTCCTTCCTTCCTTCCTTCCTTCCTTCCTTCCTCCTCTCCTCCCTCCTCCTCCTTCCTTCCTTCCTTCCTTCCTTCCTTCCTTCCTTCCTTCCTTCCTTCCTCCCTCCTTCCCTTCTTTCCTACTTTCTTCTTTTCTCCCTATTTCCTTGTCTCTCTTCTTCTCTTTCTGTTCTTTTTTTCTCCCTCCCTTTCTTTCTTCCTTCCTTCCTTTCTTTCATCAGCTAAGTGGCACACAGCATGGAGGGCTGGACTTGGACTCAGTGAGACCTGAATTAAAGCCCTGTCCCAGACACATAATTGCTGTATGGCCCTGGGACCCTTAACCTCTTTGTGTCTCAGTTTCCTAATTTGCAAAATAAGGATAATAGCATCTGCTTCGTAGGGTTGCTGTGAAAATCAAAGGAATTAACCTATGTAAGCACTCAAAATGCTCTAGAAATGCTCTGTGTTATTATCATAAACCCAACATGTCCTAAACTGTACTCATGGTCTTTTCCCCAAAACACTCCCCTCTTCCAGACTTCCCTGTTGTTGTCATTCCAGTAACCTCTTTGTTGTCCTGGACTCATCATTCTCTCTGACCCCTAACCTAGCTTTCCAGCCTCATTGAACATTGTTCCTCCTTTTGCACTCTTGGAGCCAGACAAACAGGCCCACAACACTCTATCTCCTATCTCTAGGCCTTTGCACTGGTCATCCCTTGTGTCCGGAATGCCCTCCCTCTTCGCCCCAACCCCGTAGAATGCTTCGTTCCTTTAAAATGTAGCACAAGGATCATTTTCTGCAGGAAGCCCCTCCTGACTCTTCCCCCTCCACTTTGAGGGCCCTCCCTCCCTCCCAAAGTATCTTGCATTTAACTATTTTGTATATATTTGTATTTATTCACTTTATATTTATCCTGCCTATAATTCTATTTATACTTGTCTCCCTCATTGGAGGGAGACTCCCTCCCTGAGAGCAAAGATCCAGTCCCTTCCCTTCCCTTCCCTTCCCTTCCCTTCCCTTCCCTTCCCTTCCCTTCCCTTCCCTTCCCTTCCCTTCCCTTCCCTTCCCTTCCCTTCCCTTCCCTTCCCTTCCCAGGAAAATACAAACTTTGGCAGGCTTTACTAAGTTCCAAGGCTATGTGCCTAGCATCTGAGGAACTGCAGAGTTAAGGGCACAGAGACTCATGGCCAGGTTGGGTTCCAAGATAATGAAGCTTCTCAGGCACAGTAAATTAGGAAATTGTCTACTATGACTTGTAGGGTTGCCAAAAAGACCAAATAAAGAAGAAAATTATGTACACAAATGTTTATAGCAGTTCTGTCTGTGGTGGCAAAGAACTGTAAACTAAGGGGGTGCTGGGAAGACTGGATGAACAAACTATGGCATGTGAACGTAACGAAATGCGATTGTGCTAAGAAATGATGATGGCCTGCTTCAGAGAAACCTGAGGTGACTTGTATGAACTGATGCAGAGGGAAGTGAGCAGAACCATAGAACAATTTATTTTTTAAAATCAGATTGTATTTTTCAATTATCTCAATTATTCTTTTTTTATCTCAATTATTCTTAAGGGTTTTTGTTTCAAGAGCACTTTAGAGTTGAACAGCTTTGAAAGACTTAACAACTCTGATGGAAAGACTAACCATGGGGGTAGCTAAGTGGCACAGTAGATAGAGCACCGGCCCTGGATTCAGGAGGACCTGAGTTCAAATCCGGCATGTAACACTTACTAGCTGTGTGACCCTGGGCAAGTCACTTAACCCCATTGCCTAGCCAAAAAAAAAAAAAGGAAAAAAAAGGACTAACCATGATTCCAGAGGACCTACAGTGAAACATTAGGCCTACCTCCTGGCAGAGGAATGGTGGACCCAGGGTGCAGATGGAGACACAAATTTTTGAATCTGAGAATTTTTTTGTTTGGCTCTGCAAATTTTGTTGTAAGGGTTCTCTTTTTCTTTGAAATAATTGTGGGGAGAGGGGAGAGAAAATAAATACCCGTTACTTGAAAAAAACAAACAAACAAAACCCCCAAAACACCACCACCACCACCAAAAACTTGCAGGATTGGAAACTTTGCTACCAGGAAGAGTGCCTTTACCCTTGGGATCAGACACCTCTGGACACAGGAAAATAAGTTCAGGAAATAATAGCAAGGAGGAGGTTCTGGAGTGAATCCAGCACACAGCAGAGTCTTGAGTGGCAAACGAAAGGGATGGGGTTGTCAGATGTAGATTCTGCTGAGATCTTCTCAGGTGTTTGTGCACATGCGCCTGCGCAGGGATCCTCTACCTTCCAATGGGGTACGAAAAAGGACTTGAGGTCCTTAGGTATTTTTTCTTTTTTTTTGGTCTAGAGCTATAATTTCTTCTAAGGAGCAACCAGTATGGACTGACGCAAATGGTCAGCCCTTCTTTTACTTATGCCCAGAGAAGTGCCTGGGGCACTATGAGGTTGCCCATGATCACAGAGCTAGTCACAAGCATGTGACATTTTACTAAGGTGTGCAGCCAGAAAACTTTATTTATTGTTAAAGCAAACATTTATTGAATGAGCAATCTTAAAAGATATTATTTCTATTCATTAAATAAACTAAAAACAAGAATTTAAAAAGTTAACACCTAAATTTTACTTTTAAAATGGGACACAAAAGACTAGATTTTCCTTTTTGAGACATTAGGATTTGCCTGGGCATAGCTGGTAACCCTGCCTCCATGCAAGTTCAGCTAGTATGTATCAGAGGCAGAACATAAACCCAGGATCTACTATCTACTATGTTTTGGGGACTTAAATGTTAGAAAAGTTTATCAGGTTAGCTAAGTGGTGCAGTGGATAGCATGATGGGCCTGGAGTCAGAAAGTCTCTTCTTTTGAGTTCAAATTTAGCCTCAGCCATTTACTAGCTGTGTGACTCTGGGTAAGTCACTTAACCCTGTTTGCCTCAGTTTTTTCATGTGTAAAATGAGTGGAGAAGGAAATGGCAAACCACTTTAGCATCTTTGCCAACAAAACTCCAAATGGGGTCACAAAGAGTCGGCCACAATTGAAAAAACTACTAAACAACAAAATTCTCTGGGGCAGCAAAGAGGCACAGTGGATAGAGCACCAGCCCTGGAGTCAGGAAGACCTGAATTCAAACCCAGCCTCAAATACTTACTAGTTGTGAGACCTTGGGCAAGTCCAAAAAAAAAAAAAGTAAAAGTTTATCAGGATTCAGAGTGGAGATGAATCACAGAAGAGAGAGCATTTGAACAGGGTCAAGTAGAATTTTAATACATATAGATGATAGGGTAGGGCAATCCAGTCATAGAGAATGCTGTGAACAAAAGAAATTGGGGAGCCAGGAATTGGAGTGTAGGGCATTTGAAGATTAAGAAGTAGGCAATAAAGTGGTAGAGAGAAGTTAGAGGGTTTCGTGAATGGCAGGCTGAAGAATTTGGACATTAACCTTTGGCTATGGGAGCCATTGAAGGTAGTTGAACATGAGAGGGATATGTCTGGGGCTGGGCTTTGGGAAGGAAATTGACAACCTGGACATTGGGAGCCTGGGGGGAAAGAGCTAACTACTTTGCTGTTGTTTGAGTGTCTGGAATAACCTCTTAGCAGCTATTGGCATCGTAGGAAGAATATCACTTGAGGACGTGAGCTTTGTGAAACTTTGCCCAAGACAGCTAATCGCCTAAAGTCAGGGGAGGCTTCATTGTCTGTGGGGGCTACATAGGGGCATTCGGGGGTCTCTGACTCAGGTAGAGTGAGGAAAGATGGCTTCTGAGATGATGAGGTTGGGAAGTCCCACCAGGATTTATTGTGACGTAGATGAGGTAAAATACAGGGGCTTCGTAAGTAGCAAAAACTTCTTCATAAACAGGAAAATGGCCCTGATCTTCCTCTAGTGAGGGCCAAGGGCCCCAGGACAGGGAGCAGTTGGGGGACAGAGGGGCTCCACAGGAGAGAAAGAGATGCCCCCTAGTGGGCGATCCAGATAGTGACAGTAAATGATTAGGGGTGGGGGGTCCACGGCCCGAACATAGAAAATGACTCAGATTCATACACTATCAGAACTGAAAGGGACCTTAGAGCATAAGAGAATCAGAACTGAGTACTACAAGGGCCCTTGGAACAGAGGATGTTAGAGCTGGGAGGGCCCCTAGAACACAGAATGTCAGGGCTGGGAGGGCCCTTACAGCACAGACTTTCAGGGCTGGGAGGGACCTTAGAACACAAGATCTCAGAGCTGAGAGGGCCCTTAGAACCCAGAGTGTCAGAATTGGGAGGGCCCCTAGAATACAGCATATCAGAGCTGGAGGGACATTA